ATGACCATAATTTTAAAGTATTGGGTCCAATTTGCAAGGGCCCCCCTCTCCCTTAAAGTGTCTTGGACAAGAAATTGAGAAAGAGAGAAACGAAAAAATCAGAAGAATATTAACAACAGTAAAAACAAAGATGGGTCATAGAAAGGGGTTGAAAAGTCTGTTGGCACGCAATGAAGCATACGAATCACTAACATGGTTATAGCCGTCCAATTGGAGAGAGGTAAAAGCTCGATCCTTATTCCCCATCAGCTTATGATGATTGCTTACTCCAAGTAATTTTGAGAGTAAATCGCACCTTTAAATTTTAACTTTGTAGACTTTTTAATTTTCTCCAATTTTTTGTCGAATCGATCGATTATTTATTTGTTTTTCTTTTACTCAAGAATTGGAAAAATAGATAAATTAACAATCACCTGACATGTAATGGGAGGCCATTATTTGAATTAATAGATTCCGTCGTCAGGTAGCATAAGGATTAATCATGATCGGTCCATTTCTTTAAGCAAACATCAATAATATAAAAAATCACAAACATCAGCACGATCAATTTATGGCAACCTAGTCACGGTCATAACGTAACTCATGAGTAATTGAAATGAATCAAACCCTTGAAGTGAAATTGCGATTGAGGCAAAGAATCAGAAGTTGAAGTATAAAAAATTGTAATTAAAATGAATTAAGATATATATATTTTTTATTGAAATTTAATATAATGTTACCTTAAATATCATAAAAGAAATATTGGTAATGTTTTTCATTTAAAAATATTTTTAATTAATGTCTTAAAAACACGTGTTAGTATTTTATTTTTTTTAAATATCCTCAATAGCAACAGTGATGGAACAATCGGTGGGTACTGGTGATAGTTAACGACAATGGAAGTAAAATAATGAAAATAATAATGGTCAATAAAAATGATAGCACTAATAATAATATAAGTGAATAGGTGATTAATAGTAGTAATGGTAACAGTGATATTATTGAAAATAATATCCAGTAATGTTAACAAGTGAATAATAACAGTAATAATAATGCAAAAAACATCAATACTGCCAAAGGAATAACAAAAATACGAAAGAGTCAATTGCAAGTATACGAGTTTGATTAAAACTGAATGGGTGAGAAATTAAAAATAAAATTTAATTATATTATATTGATATAAACTTATATTTGAGAACAATAATTTAAATTTGAAAAATCTTTTAAACGTTATTATAGAAAAAATTGAAGTTTAATTTAAAATTTAAACCCAACTTTAAGTTTAATTTTGTGCATGAAAGCGAGGCCAATACTCATTTGATAATAGAACCGAATTGGTCAAAGTGTGAAAATGCTGACCACCTCCTTGGGGAGACTACGAAAACTATGTGTTTTCCTTCCAACAGTAATCCATAGGAGACTATCATTGTCTTTTACTCTCTTTTTCTTTTTGGGTTGAAATAGGCACTGCATTCTACAGTCTTTTACTTCCTAACCACGAAGACCCCAAACAAAATCATTAGATAGCCCGTGCCTACCAATTTCAACACTCTCTCAGTTTTCACCTTTTCTTCTTTTTATGGGACTCAGTGTGTCACCACTCACGACTTTTCTTTTTCTTATTTTCCATTTCCTTCTCATTCGGTAGGCTACACAAAATAAATTAAAAGTGCCCTCAGGATTTTCATCCCCTTAACTTTGTTTTGCTTGAAACATGATAACTCATGCCATGCCAATATGTGAATTCACTGATGAAAATTTTAGATCTGTGATTAATGATTTCATAATTTGATGGAACTTATTTTCGTAGACAAATAATATTGCATTGTTTTACGTTTTATGCTTTCTTTGTTAAAAAAAGGAAAACAAAATCTAAACTGGAGTTATGCTTTATGGTTGGCAAATAAGTGAGATATGTGCCACATATCTTATTAGTTGGCAATGAACTAAATCTCACACCACAGGCAATTAGATATCATGCAACACGGTCAACATCAGCGCAAACTAGCCAACTTTCTTATTATTAAAAACTCCGACATTCACGGCGATTATAATTTTTATTTTATGCCTTATTTATTAGAAAATGAATTTCACTTTTTGCAATATTTTATTAAATACATTTTTTATTGAGAAAATAAAAAATATATTGGAAAATATATCAAATATTGTTTTATTAATTTAAAAAGTAATATATAAAATATAAACGCATTAAGGTTATAAGGTAGACACACTTTCTCATATACTATTATTTTATTAATATTGAACAATTATAAAATAAATTACTTAATCGATACAGATCATTAGATACATTGTTTTGGGGGAAGAAGGGGGAGGAATAAAGACAGTGCTGGGACCCCAATTGATTTGGAACACTTATTTGCTTCGACCCATGAAGGTAATGAAGACACTACATATTTATTTAAAAATAAATGGTTTATATTTCATAGTGTATTTATTTAGGTTACGTGGATTTGTATCTTCTTGTGTCGGTAAATAACATAACAATTATTAAAACAAAATATTGTTGTGTTGGCATAGCTCTGTTATTAATACGAGAAAGATGTGTTGAAATTGTAAATAAAAAAAAAAAAAAAAGCCTATCAAAATTATATTTTGAAAAAAAATCATCCATTTGACTTAGGAGGCTTTTTTTTAAATAAAAAAAACTACATGAATATTTTTTTTAAATAATGGTCAATGATGATTTTTTGGTACTTTTATAGTATTTTATTATTATTTAAAAATGAAAAATTTATTTTTTTAATATTTTTACAATTTTTTCGTTCTTTAATTTCTGAATTTCTGTAATTACACAAAAAATGACTAATAATAATTTTTAAACTTCATATTTGTAATTTAAAAAAAAATACTATATATAAAAAAACTAATATGACTTCGAAATCATAATATTTTATATACAGTAATCAATTTTTTTTTTATGAATAATTATATCTTTTAGAACTTACACTTTTTTCATGAAAAATTGTGCTGTGACTACTAAACTTTTGTGTTTTTAATTATGTTCATCACACGAAATAAAATTAAAATTTATGATACCGACACATGATAAAATTCATACTAAGTAAAGTATTATTAAATTACTTTAATACAAATAAAATTTTATAAATAACATAAAATACAGAATTAAAAAATATATAAGTTCACATTAGAACAAAATCTAACAAGATGCTAATCTATATTTCATATTATGTGGTCGATGTGACGTAACATTAGAGAAATGGCCACTAATTTTGTTGATAAAATGAGAACGTTATTCAATGTATACCAACTACGACACTCAACCTCCCTTAAAAAGAAAAAAAAATGGAAGCTGCACATATATAGAGAAAGCGAATAAAGTCAAGAAATGGTCCCCTTTAATAAGGTAGGGAAGGCACATGCAGGGGCTTTTGTGGGTGTCTCTTGCATGCTATGAACAAGACAGAAGCAAGATCCATTACAACAAGATTGTTTTGCCGAGCAAGGCAATTGTTAAACGCTAGTCATATATTCTTTAGTCGCATTTTCTCGACTGAAATGATCACGCTGTTTTCTTTTCTTTGCACACTTATAATACCGATCATCCAAGTGAGCCACCAAAGTTTCAAAGATGGCCTCTTTTAACAATTTTCTAAAATTTCAAATCACATTCCATAACAAAGGAATAATATAAAAGCTTTGTTGAAATTACATGGATTTAATGATGTAAGAAAATCATACTTTTTTTCTCGCACATTGTAACATAGGGAAGGTTGAGATCTGAGCAAACTCGATTTGCTCTCATTGACTTGGCCCTGTTTGATTAGAAGAAATGCCTATAAGACTTTGCGGTGCTTCCGAGAAAAGGATGGAAACGAATTTTGCAAAATCCATTTGACATATATAGCACCCAACAAATCCTTGCTTTTTAAGTAGTGAAAGCAAAAGATTATTTGCACCACTTTTTTCCTCCCCTCCCTTTTCTTTTGCTTGTCATGGGCAGAAAATTAACTCTATCGATGCCCTTTTGCTAATTGACCCCTCCAACATAAAATACGTACTTTGTTATTTTTCCTTCCTATTTTTTGATAAAACAGATAAACAAATAATACGTGCAAGCGGGATATTTCCTTCAGATGTCACAACCTCTGTTTCTATAAGGAGATCCGACAAACTAATCTTTTTGAAATTGATCTGACGATGTTTAAACTTTACCTAAAATCTTTAATAAATATCAACGTCCATATCTGTTCAAAAATTGATTTTTCAAGGCAATAATGGTACTTAATGTTCCTAACTTTGAAAACTTGTAAAATACTAAATTCAATATCCATCTGTTCAAAAATGTTTTTTCTTTGGAATTTTTTGTTATTGAATTTGCCCGCAGAACCACCAAGATACTGAAAGACAATGAGGAAGACAGGGTCCGCCTTGGCTTTTGCTACAACTAAAAGACACAAGGAAAAGAAAAAAAAAAAAAAAGGATATTTGAGAGGAGTTGAACGAACAATAAAAAATTGAAAATAGAAACATAAAAGGATGCTATTACAGCTGGATAGCTCATTCTATGATTTCATTTTACTATAATTGCAGTACAAACGGAAACTGAGCTCGCCCGAACGAGGTCAACACCCCCAATAAATAAGCACTCATTGGACAACATGTTTCTCTCACATGCAAAACAAATATTCGTTCCCATGAATCTTTCTCCCTCAGCTCTCCACTTCGCTTACTTAATTTCAACGTAAACCAGCTAGCATAAACAAAGCACCTGGATTTCTCTCTAAACATTTGTTTTTCATTTCAAATTCGAACAAATTGAGATTACGATATGCAGAGTGATCACTCGTAATTATTAAAGAATTTAATTTCAATTCTTATTTAATATATACAATTTTAATATTGCATCATATACTAAAAAGATATGTATGAAGAACAAAAATAAACTCGTTTAAGAATATAAATTTTGGACGTATACGACCGATTTTATTTGGACAAAGTAAAAGACAATAAATACACTTTAGTCCATCGATATGCTCATGTTCTTTTTTTATATATATTATTAAATAAATTTGTTCCGCATAAAATGCCAACAATCTCTGCTCCCAATCCTATACACCCATCTCAGGCTTCGTGGCGAAGATCTAATCTAAATCCGTCAATGACTTGCGAAGGGAAGTAGGCAATAGTTATACGCAGAGATTGTTGGCAATTTAACTTGCCCGTCAAAAAGATTAAAAAAAGATACGTTGTTATTAAGGCACATAAGAAGAGAGAGTGGTTGAAATTAAAGGGTCTACTAGCTAGCGAGTAATGCTGAGAAAATGCGAGTTGGAATGGTCTTGAGTCCTAGTCTTCTTAGACAAAGGTTCTGGTGAGGAAGACACAGAAGCAGCTACTGCCCACGAGTCATTGGAGCTATCACAGCTAAACGACACATCCATTACGCCGTTTGGGCTACCAGGAACCGACCCAAACTTGCGTTTCGCGCATTGCTTCTTCCCCTGGTCGTACCCCGACCACACTTCCAACATCAGCTTGCAACACTCGTTCACCTTGTCCTGTATAGAATGTTCCACATTTAACTATGTAATAATATACATCTCTGTCAAATGCAAGACAAACTCAACCTCAAAGAAGCGTACACCAACCTCGTTAATTCCGAGAATACCAAACAGCTGGTTCTGGTATTCAGCTCCTAGATGAGGATCCACATTATTCACAACGTGCATCATTGTAGCATTTGCCAACACAGAAGGCAGATAACTCATAAACCTGGAATCTGATATGTTGGGAAAGTTTATTTAAAAATTAAAATAAATATTAAACTTATGAGATGCAGAACTTAAATATAATGCAAAATTAAATACCTCCGAGGAGAGAGAGAAGAACGCCTTGGCACCTCTTGAGTAACTCCCAGCAAAGATGATCCTTCAATCCAAGTCTTCTCGTGATATAATCAAGAAAAGAAAGAGGGGTTGGTGGATTCATCTTCCACCCAAGAGTGGAAAGAACCAAAATCTCCATCCTTTTAATGGTTTGGGCTTCGAACAAGTATCTACTATCCTCCACCTACACAATTTAAAAGAGCAAACACGGTTAACTAATAGACAAAACCAGGTTAATGTTCTAAATTTCTTGGTATTACAGAGATGGAGCATGCATACTTGAAGGTCTAGTAGAAGGGGAACTTGTGTCTCTTCGACCTTGGCAGCGAGAGAGAGGCAAGCCACAGCAGCAAGCTGAGTCATCCATGGCTTCCCATTCTGAAAGCGGAAGCTGAAGAGGAACCGGTCAAAGTAGTTAACAGCAAGAACAGCAGTGAGAGCAGAGAAGGAGTAGTGGGCGTTCACTTTGAGCATCCATTCGACAGCTTCTCTACGAGAACAGTCCAACAGAGGGTGGCTTTGGAGGAACGTGAATAGAGGGTTGTGTTGTTCTTTAGAGAGAAGTGATGGTAACTCTTCTTCGTCGCAAAACATGTCATTTTCAAACAACGTAGGAGGCGTGTTTATTATTGTGCTAGTGGTACTAGTGTTAGCGCTTATATAATCACAACCGTACACATGCTCGGTTTGTTCTAATTCATCTTGGCCTACGTGTTCTTCCCAATGCTCTTCAGAGCAGTATAGGGTGTCGAAAAGGGATTTTTGGTGAGGGTGATGATGGTGATTAGCCATCTTGAAAGGATCTTTATGAGTGGGAGAAGAGGAAGGGTGTGAAATGCCTCAATGGTAGAGGCATCTCCATTACCCTGCTTGAGAAGAGAAATGAGAAGGGACAGATTGAGAAGAGAAAATGAAAGGAAGGAGTGACCACAGAGCAGAGCAGTGACAAATACAATAAACGAGGAGAGTGGTTTTCCCAAACCCAACCAAAATGAATTTTCTTTTTATTGGGAGTGTCTCGCGCCCAAGAGCTGAATGAAAACATGGGCCATGCACCACAATTACTCGACACGTGACAATTGTACCCTACAAATTAATGGATCCCTCTCCTACTCTTTCAACCGTTAAGATTCATCATCATTTTAACTATCAATTAATTTATAGAATGTTTAAACCGTTGCAGAGGTACAACTGTACAATTCCATCAGACAAAACAGTAATTTTCAAATTTAATAAATATCAACTTTTCAATTTTAAGTCAGGAAAAGATGGCTTCAGGAAAATTAGCTGATTATTAAATTTATATTTTCAAATGTGACTCTTTAATGATTGATTTTTATTTGAATATAATTTATTTTTTAAAAAGATTATTAACTTTTTTAATTCTAATTTTACAAGTCATAATTTTTGTATTTTTAATATAGGCTCAACGATCTGAATCAACTTCACAATCATGTGGGGTTAGTTTGAATCACATTAAAAAAGTTAAAAACAATTGATCTAACTCATTTCATTGTGTACTAGTTAATTTGAACAATTTTTTTCTTCAAACTTGACTCAACCAAGCTATGATTATTCAATATTTTCAATACATCAAAATAAAAAAAAAAAGGTATATTTTCATCAAATTATTACATGAAAATGAGTTTAAAAATTTAATGAGAATCATTATCCATTTTCACCCAAAAATATAATTATTGTTATATGTTACTAAAGTAATTGATAATTTTTTTCAAAACTTTTTTCTCTTACCATTTGGCGTAGTTAAAAGATATTTCGTACACTACGTGTCTTTAAAGTATACAAAAATATCAATACAGTAGCGCTTTAAAATAATATCCAATAGGCTAAGTGAAGTTGACGAGATTAATGAGAATGACTTACATCGATAACTATTTTTATAAATTTTGAAGTCTGATTTTCAATTTAATTGTAGTGGCTAAATTGATAGATATTTATTATTTGAAAATAGCATTTCATGCAATATTATTGAATTTAAAACTTATTATATATATATATATATATATATATATATTTAATGACCTAATCTAAACACAGTTAATACAGATGGAAATAAATTGATTGAAAAGAGAGTGAGAGAAAAAAAAAAATTGGCGCGCGCGGGAGTGAAAACATACACAGTGTCCGACACATGAAAATAACATATTTGATTCTCTCTCATTCTGTTTCTGAGGTCTGATATGAGACAGAATGGCAAAGCCTCGATCGAGCTTTCACAACCCCCCCTCTCTCCCCATCCTCATTTCTGGTCCTGCATTGCATCACATCCATTATTTTACAATAAACAACCTCACAATTGTTTTCGGACCATTAAAACCTTCTTCTAAAATGAGCTGTCATTTCTGAATCCCCAATATTTTACTATTTGTTTTTGTTATGTATTTACGCAACTGGAGTTCTATGGTTCATGTGTGAGCCCATGGTTTCCAAACGCAAACGGGGTAGCCATTTTGATGCGATCTTCTCCACAAGATAAATAAAAATAACAAGCAAGGGAAGAAGTGATCAATGATATAATAAAAAATATTAACAGATTTTATAATAATATTATCAATGTATTAAGTTATGTATTTTTAATAAAAAAAGTTATTATATATTATTTTATGCAAGTTAAAATTCAAAAATAGTCAAGTCAGATATCGAACATCATAATTCCCAGATCAGTTTCTTTCTTTATTGGAACTGAAGAACCGTACCATCTTCGTTTCTCTGTGTTTTAAATTGTTAAGAAGTGAGAATGAGTGTAAGTATAGCGTGTTCAACTCATAATGATGCCCGTCCATGAACTGGGATTTTTTAACTAGTGTGGATATTATATTTATTGCATTAGCATAAAAAATGGATATATTTGGTATGAATCATAGTAGCTCCTCTTAATCATGTTTTCTCAATTTAAAATCTCGAATCTGTGTACTAAACTTTATTGGAGATCTAATGCATTTTGAGATCACAAGACAACAATAAGATTCAGAGATTCTATATCTTTTGGGAATATCAATTTAATTAGAAACCATTTAATAGGTCCAGTTTCAATAGCAAATTAATTTATTTTGTATCCTAAAGATATACACACGTCAACAATGACATATATTTGTAAAATTATTGGTCCCATTTCTGGTTTCTCATGTTAAAAAAATGATTTAGAAAAAGCAACACTATCTTTTTTAGTTGTTAGTTATTTTACTGACGTATCATTCTTAATTTGATTAACGAAACATGTAATCTGAAAAGCGAGAATGATAGGTTGATAGCTTAATACGCTGAGCGGAATTCAACTACAAATGAAGATATCCATTATTCTATTTGTTTAGTTCTTTAATTCGTACAACTATTTCCTAGGCAGTAATGCTGTCTTATATACCAACAAAGAGAAGGAGTTTTGTACGTATTCAAAATTTTATTTTCTGAAAAAATTGGCAGTGTGATGCATAGAAGCGAACTTTATTGAATGATTTGCGTAAAGGAGCGCATGCAATGCAAGGGTATTGAGAGTGAGCAGAGTCGATCTTACGCGGAAGTCCAAAGAAGATTTTAGAAAGAGACGTAAACACTTTGGCATTGGATGATATTTCATTTCAATTGGGAGTATCATTCCCTGTGGTTCAGAGAGCGAAAACTATTACACAACATGACAATTACGGAAGTATACATTTTCAAACATAATTTACTACTAATATATAACACAACACAAGGACAACCCAGTTCTTCTTTTTGTCGTACGATAAAGAGATGTCCCTGCAATAGCCCCATTACAATAAATGGTTGCAACAGAGCAAGCAGAAGGACTGAAACAAGAGCTGAGAGAGAGAGAGAGAGAGAGAGAGAGCATTGTCTTTCGAAGAATTTCCCTTCTTAGCCATTGATCATTGCATGCAGGTCAAAAATATTAGCAATAGTGGGCTAGTGAGTATACAGTAGAAAAAAATTAGTACAGTTTATAGCTGTAACTAACTACTGAGACATACGCGTGTAGGGTTAATTTATCTGTTTCGACAGGTTGCTTTCTTTCTTTTCTTTTTCTATTCTTTTCTTTGCATCTTTGTTTTCAATTCTTCTACCTCTTTTATAGGCTCGATCTCCAAGAAACGAGTGGGGGGCAGATAAAGAGAAAGAGAAATGCACAAAAAAGGGGCTAGCAATAGATATCCTTAGTGCAAGCAGGTGAGACAGAATCACTGAAGGGAAGTGATTGTGGTGAAAGGTGAGATGGTAGATATATCGTGGTGGTTGTGGATTGTGGAAGCTAGTTGTGGTTTCCAGCCCACCACCAACGCAACAACTGTTGCTTTTTCTCACTGCTCTTTACTCATGCACCAAACTGTGGTACGAAATTTTAAGAGTTGCCACTGTTTAAGTATAGTTAATTAATTTAAGTGATTCATGTGCCAAAGCAATATCCATTTTTGCATTCAACACCACCATATGCAAAAGTATTTATTTTCTTATGACAAGATCATTATGAGTTTTCTTTTCTAACTTTCTCCTCAAAGTGGTGTGTGCAAAAACAGCAACCCGCACTTCATACTGGTCAAAGTCAGACATGTCCACTCTCTGAAGGATCAGAAAGTGGCTCATTTCTTCCATTTCAATCTCAGAGCAAGAAAAAAAAAAAAAAAAAAAAAAAGAGCAAAACCCTTTATTGGGACTCATGAACCCTTTCTACAAATCGTACCATGTAGTAGACCTAGATGGTGTCGTCGTATCTAACGCAATATCATATTTTACTCGTGAAAAATTAAACATCTTGAGGAGTACTTGTTTTTAAGAAATGTTTTTTTTATTTTTATTGTCTATTTTTATTTTTAATTATAAAGTTGATGTCTTAATTTTTGTTTTCAGAGATTTGTTATTTTCTGTATCAATTTCTAAAACTAAAAACAGAATAAAAATAAAATATTTTCTGACTATCCATACGATCTCTTGATCTTGAATGATCTCTTTTTTAATTACTATTTCATAATTTAAATGTATGAATATTTTTAACAAAAAAAGTACACATTCAAAAAATCATTTAATAGTTAAAAATACTTAAAAATTAGGTAAAGGTAAAGATATAATTCTATTCTCTAATAAAAAATATTTATTTAAGTTTAGCTCATGTAAGTTTATTTATATACATATAAAAAAATGTATAAGTGGGAATATTGCTTCATTTCAAAACCAACTATAATTCCTTTCTTTTAATTATTTTTCTAAAAAACAGTAAAAAATTATTTTTATTTTTATTCTATGTCTCTTCTTTGTTTTATTTTATTTTTATGTATCTAAATACAATGTATTTAAATATATTAATAGCATAAAAAATTATATATTGTCATATCAATGAGAAAAGACTATGTCCATATATATTATGATTTAAAAAACGGTGAGAAAATAGTGCCTTAATTTAATTATTAAAAGGTGCCTTTATTAAAGTATTTTTATTAAACCAAAATTGATAATTTGGGTTCAAATTAATGAAATTAACCCGTAGAAAGTAAATTATTATTACTTTTCTTTTTAAAAATTTTTGTCGATATTTGATTACTAAGAAAACAATAAATGTAATAATAATGTGTGGGTTATGAAATGATGGCCCACAAGGATCTTGATCCAGCTGGGTGAAGACCACTTAGATGGGGTCCACAATGCAAGTCAGAGCTTAATGATAATGTTTCTCCGTAATGATAAAGTAGTATATGCCGGTAACGTAACAACTATGAAGCATGACCCAATATATAATGTAATAATTAATGTACCAGAGGTTGACCCATGACCTTGTTTTCACTTTTCCATAAAATTATATATATGTACATACATACATACTTAAATCTCAATTATAAATTTTATATTAAAAAGTATATCACAATGACAAAAATCAATTTAGGTGTTTGCGGAAGTGACTCCAAAGGTAGGCAATTATTTGTGATAGTCAGAAAATTGAAAGCAGGAGCATTAGACACTGCAGACTGGGTAACACTTTTTTGTTGCATGGCTATCAAATCCTTCAACCTGAATAATCCAACTCTGACCCCCCCCCCCCCCCCCCCCCCCACATCATTAGTAAATAGCATCACAAGGCAAATGGATGCAGTCTAGTGCATACTCGTTTACAAACAAACGAATAAGAGATTCTACATACAACAGCATGAAGGTAATGATCCTTGTCAAATGCTTATATTTGGATTTAAATCCAAATAGTTATTCATATTTAGCTACTTCCTTCACAATTGACCTCAATTTCAGGCTCAGTTAGAATGCATTAGGGTCATAACCCAAAACAGAAAATTATTTAATGTTGAAGCATAATTGAAAGAGATTTGCCCTTAAGGGTTAAAGATGTTTCTGTTTTGGTGCTTACTATTAAACATAACATATAGAAAGATGATTCTGTTTTACGATTTAGAAACATATTCAGCTAAGATTCTAAAGTTAGATCAGACATAGTTTCTCCCAGTTTTGACTTTGTGCAGAACCTAGTTAGACAACCTGCTCTAGCTCCGCTTGAACCTCACGAGTGTTGACTGGTGCATGTTCCATTTCAACCATTCCTAAATAGTCCGTGACTAATATAGCTGGATACACAAACACCTCAATCAAAATCCATAATCCACAATGAGAACAAATGTATAGTCCTAAGCTTCCCACTCATTCTACAGATATTTCCAGACTCGGGTCGGGTACTTTTTTAACTCTTCCAAAGTTGCATTCTTTGGGAATGAATACATTCAAAGTGAAAGGACCCTCCAAAATATAAGTAGTTAAAAGTTCTATGCTGAAGAGAATATACCTTGCAACATTAAAAAATGCTGTAAAACTAGACCATAAGAGGACACAGAATTCTGGTAAATATCCTATAAAATATTAAGGTAGTCAAACAACAAAATTCCATACCTTGCAGCCGACCAGTTACCTAACCAGTAACCACCAATTTATGCATCGCCAACAAAGCGTTCTATAAGTCAACTAAGTGAAGCTCACTTCAATCATTTTGTGTTCCTTTTATAGTAAGCTCGGTAACCCAGTCAATGACTATCTACCACCATTGACTATGTAGGTAAGACCCTGAACGATGAGGGGAGAAAAACACATGTAAAAAACAGTCAGAACAACAAAGTAAACAAATCACTATATATACATCAACCACTCCCACGCTTAAATGTTCTCAAATAAACCTTTCTCCATCAGTAAGGTACTGTTCTCCGGTGTAAGCTATCATTAGTTCTTACAATAAAAAGACACCTTGAGGATGACGGTCAAACTACACAAGAAAATAAGTCATATGTCCATATCATGTACATGCTGTGTGTTTTGGTGAGTAACCAGAGCAAATCATTACAAGCAAATCCAAATAGTAATAGCTGAACTTGAACAGTCTTGAGGTTAGTCGAAGCAAATTTTAATAAAAAGGAAATGTGTATGAAAACCAAACAAGTTGTTTATTTTTTAAAAGGAGCATGACAAACTCCAAAATCATCCCATTGGATAAATGGCCATACTTGTTAATTTCAGTTGAATAGGGGGGATGGTCTGCAGAACTGAAGATCATACAAAAAATATTCAAACTAGATTATAATGGATAAAGTTGAATCCAATTATAGTGGGATTCGGGAGACAGACTTTCAAGTATCATCTATGCAAGGTCTCTCTTGCCCTCACGTCTTTGACTTTGACCAACCAGGATAAACATGATTTGATCAATAAATTGTGATAACCAGCCAAGTGATAACAAACTCCTTGAAATGTCCCCTATATATATATATATATATATATATATATACATATTTGCAAAAAGGAAGATCGAATATCTTGAAATGCAGCATTTCTAATTATTTATATCTGGTGTACCTACAAGCACCGCAATGGGTAAAGACATTTGATGTAATTGGAGTAGTAACCTTGACGGTAATAGAAGATAACTGCTTCTTCAAAATGTGTTCAGCACTGGCAACAACATAAAAAATTCTCAACACTTCACCAAGGAAAATACTTACAAAACTGCATATTGAATATCAAATCGATTTGTAATTTTTACCATTTTGGCTTAATTACCCATTTTGTTTCCCCTGTTTTCATTCAAGTTTGATTTTTATCCTTCTTGTTTTAATTTCTACAACGTTATCCTCCTAGTTTTAACATTGGTACTATTAAACCATATGTCAGTTTGACAATGACGGGACGTTGAATTTGCTGCACAAAAACGATGTTTTTTTTTTGCTGGGAAGAAATTAAATTCGATTGTATGGCACTCCTTTTTTAATGATTTTGCTAACACTAGAAAAGACATTGCACAAAAGCCACCACAATCAAAAGAGAATCAATTTAATAATAAAGTGATAAGAGAAGTTACTTGGACCAATTTGAAAATTATTTGGACAAAACTTTGCAATTAAATTAGAGAAATGTAGAGAATCAAAAGTATAGTTAACCTAATTTTTTTGTTGGTAGAAAAATGAGGCCGCAGCCCAATTAAAGCTGACTTCTTTCCAACATGTACATCAATTTGAAGATTTATGAAAAAGACATAATGTACCGCTGCTTAAGTATATAGTTTAATTCATAGAAACTACAAAGACCTGTCAACGGATTGCAAATAAGAGTTAGCTAGCATATTTGTTTGCTTTAGTTTGGGCCTAGTGATGAAAAGAACAAAGAAAGCAGCCACTTAAGTTGGGTCATTGTTGAGAGAGAAAAAAAAACAAATTGGGTCATCAAATTGTTCTAAATAAATGGAGGGATAAGTTACTGAATTTAAAATTGCTATCTATATTTTCAGTCTTTCGGCTTAAACTGGAATTTCCTCATATCTTTCAATTCAGAATTCGAAGTTAAGTGCCAGTTCTGTTCTGTCAGGTTTTTTTGTTATCAGCCATAGGAGACAGGTCTCGAGAAGTATCTATTCATGATAACTACCAAGTTCAACAAAATCTAATGACTGACTTAATGATAATTTTTAAAGCATTTAAGTTTGTCTGTCTTACCATCTGATTAAATTTCCCCCATAAATAAACTGATCCGTTAAGAGTAACAAAGTATCATGGGTTACATACAACATCAAGGCAAGTGGGTAAGGATTTTTAATCAGTCTGGATCAATGGTAGAGAATAAGTGGATTGATAGTTCATTGGATGTATGTGAGGATAAGGTAAATTTGGAAGCCATGGGATGGGTTTAAAAATTGAATTAGTAGCTTTGATTTGATTTAGATCTGAACAGTTAATGTGATAGATTAACCAAAACAACAGAGAAAGCTGAGTACTTAGTTTGAGTTTCCTTTTGCATCGTGTCTCTGTAGTGTAAAACTATTCATCATGTAATTCAATAAACCTATGTGAATTGTTATAGTGGAAGTAGATGGAATGTTCATTAGTCTTCTGGAGTGACTTTATTTTGAAGGGAGGGTTAATGGAATAGCATTCATTACCAAACTACATTAAAAACACCAATATTAGCATTTAATTATTCTTGATTTTTCTTTCTTTATTTTCTATTAACACTGGGCTTGATTGTTGATTTTTATTTCCTATTAATACTACCCTCTTTCAAAGTTATTCATACCCATACTCATAATTAAAGATGATCCAATCCATTCATCGATAGTTGCTAATTTGGTGCCATTTGAAGTAAGGCAAGGCCATTGCACTAGACATCATGCTTGAAATAGCAGAGGACGTAGCAAAAGCGATGTCCTTCATCCACAAGGCATGGAGACTGGTACACGGCAATGTCAAGTTTTTCAACGTTCTTCTTGGAGCCGATTTCGAGGCATGCACATCACGGACTATATTGTTTGCCCGTGTTGACCCTCCCCATCTTTGAAGAAGATAACGATTAAACAGATTACAGAACTATAGAAATCTAGTAGAGTCTCGCAACCTAAATCACTAGCCAAGCCATAATTTAAAAGCTACTATTACAGCAAGTCACTATTGAACCTGCATATTCAGATTCAATATAATAAACATAACCAAAGTAAATTTCTGTTCCTAACTTCAAAGGTGTCAGTTTGGTGGTTTTGTTTTGGTTTAATGGAACAGCGATTGTCCTTTTTCCTGATTTATTTATTTTGGTCAATAAGTGGTGTCAATTAAAATGGATATGGATGTGCATTGCATTCTATTCCCTTGGAAGTGGGTTTATTTTTGGGCTTAACAGAGCGACACAAGCCCAGGAAAAGAACCCACACGATGTAATTAGTAATGGTAGCCATATATGGCAAATTTCACATTGCAAGATAAATGTCAAATTCAATGCAAGTAACGGTATATTTGCATATTAATTCCTAATAACAAGAAATATACAATTTAATATAAGTCGCTGTATATTAGCAGACCTACGTCCTAACAAAAGTATAAGAGTACGAAGAAGATACCTTCTAATGCATATTTTTTAACACGCGTTGTTATTAAAACATAAAATTATGAATGAGTTTTATTAAATAATTTTGAATTAATAATAAAGAATAATAAATTAAACATTACGGCCATTAAATACTTTTCATGAAATTGAATAGTTTTGGATATTAAAAAGAAATCTAAGTTAAGAAACTAAAAAAATAAAAAAAATCTATTACAAAGTTGCAGGTAAAACTAGAATGTGGAAACGATAATATCTGTGGAAGAAGACGAGAATTGGGAAATGTAATTGTCTAAGGTTGAGTGGTACAAGGAACAGTAGAGTAGGGTAACAGTGGGGACCATGGCTTCAAATACTAATTGTCGCCCAGAGCAGCTTGACGTTGAGTTGCTGACTTCAATTATCACTGTCTTGTTTCATTTCGTTTTCAACACAGGCCCACAAGATGGAACACCACATTTCAAAGGATAGGCCACGTTGTCAAGCCCGGCCCACCACTCCATTCTAATCTTTAATGCCATTCTTCCTTCGCTATCATAGGATCCATGATGACTACAGAGTATTAAGTTAAGGATCTTAATTGCAAATTATTTCCCCTTTAAGTTTCAATTATTATTGTACACTCTATTAACTTAGTAGCAGCTTCAGTAGTATCTTTTCCACACCCTAGAAAAAGTTGCAAAGATTGTACACAAATGAAGTTGAACTCAAACAAATAATGTCTGCATTGCACTCATCCATAGCATAAATGCGCAGAAAGTAACAGTAACAGTCATCGCTATGATTGATATATTGTCGGCCACCCATAAAAATACCACAATACATAATGCTAAGTTGTGGCCTATTGGGAGAAAATAACCAACCATTTTTTAACACACTACTCGCTACTTAGTGTTGCAAATCCATTCAATGCTACTTGTTTAAGGAACTAACCTTTCCTTTATGATCACCATCATAGGTATGATGAAACTCGCACTCCTCAATCTTCACTCTCTCGCCATTGCTTTGAATCACGGCTTCAGGTGCTTGTGTGGAATTATGGGGTGGTAGTTTCGATAGCATAGCTCCAAAACTGCAAGGCATGGTTGGCAAAGGAGGGGCTGACCAAAGAGGTGCCCCTGTTGCTCCATTTTGAGAAGGGTTCCACTCCAAATCTATAGCTATCATGGAAGAAAAATTAGATCTTTCGTCAACCACTTTGTTGACTCCTGTTACTTGGCTCATGTCGTAGGTAGATAGAACCATTCCATTGCTTTCTATGAAACTGGGCTTCACAATGTATGGATGTTGGATGGGTAGGTACGGTCTTTGAATACCGAACACACCCGGTATGCTTTGAAGGTAGCTGAATTTTCTTTGTATGCTGATCACTAGATTCAGATCCTCTGCAATCTGAAGTACTCATGAATTAGTACACGATGGAGATTTTGCCAGAATGGAGAAACATAAGGAATGAGAAAGTGCAACACCTTGTTAAATGAACCCAATTGCACTACGCCTTCTCTAACCGCAATTATGACAATACTCTACCAAAATGAGTTAATAATTTTGTCAACATGAGTAAAATTGACTTGATTTGAGTGTCGGCCATTACGTGATGTTGTGATCGAATTCACTAACCTGAATACCCGAATTGAACTGAATCTCCCACGCCTTTGGTTGCTGTAAAATATCAAGACAAGTCCAGCAAAAGAATAATAATCATTAATAAAAAAATTTAAAGAAATATTTTACGATCATTTTGCTTTTATATCAATAACTTCTCTTACTGGCTCGACAGAAGCATTCCATGGAGCAATATAGCTAGATTCACACTCATTGTGATTCTCATTATAAACCCATTTGTGACTATTATCTGCGGCAACTTTTCCTAGTAATCTGCAGATATATAAAACGGACGATGAATTATTTTGTCCCCTTGCTTCCTTCTTCTGAGAAACAGAGGAAAAGATAACGAATGTTCTTAATGGCAAGAAAATGTAAAGGTAGAGTAATGTGAACGCTCACCCCTCTCCATAATTGTAAACCTCATGCGACATTTTGAAGAATACGTCAGCTCCAAACCTACCGTTCAAGTAACCGCTCTTCCTTTGCTCGCATTCGTTAAAATCACAGAACCCATCTTCCCATACAAGGATCCTAACAAGAAAAAAACAACTTTTTTGGTTCATCAACAGAACTAACCGAAAAGAGACATGAGTTTGTCATAGTTACATACAACATTACCAGTTCCTCTTGTTTCCTTTGGAGCGATCAAGAGAAGTTCCTCCAAACTCCCACCTATAGTAACAACAATTATCACTCTTGTACATACATAAACATTGTTGGCTCTTTCAACAGATATTACTTACCTCGGAGGAGGAAAGTTACGAGGTAATATCCTCCAGAAGACAGCATATACCCACTTAGAAGAAGAGGGAGAAGTGCAAATGCTTCTGAGAGTCTGCTGCAAGAGACAATTAAGCAAGGGTAATCCACTTTCCATCTTCTACGATAGTGGGGGAGAGGGGGCAACAAAGATTAAAATTTAAAAGGCAAAATGCAGTTGCAAACGAAGTGATGGTACCCACTGGCCTCTTGCAGCCACCAAAGTGCTCCAACACAAAGGGTTGTAATGTAAAAGACAATACGAGTTGTTGTAATTTTACAGTGGGACCTCCACATTCACATTTCCCTTTCCCACTTTGCTTCACTGGTGAAGGCATTTATAACAAAAAGAAATTCCTTAAAGCCTTTTAATTGGTTAGAGTTTGATATTTCCATTACACAGGTTACCTGTGTCACGTGTAGGAGGAGCTTGTTCATCATATATATGGTTCCTCCTCCTATCACTTCTTAACTCATTCCTTCTGATTTCCGTGTGTAATGAATAGTAGACCGTTCTTCTGTTACGATTTCGGTTAGTTATGATTAGCTGTGAGGTTAGTTCCTTGATTAAGAGTTAATTACATAGAATGTTGTACATAAGACACTGTAATGAAAAACTCTATATGGATTTGGACCCTTTGTACACAGCGCATGGTTCTGCTAGAAAAATAAAGACACAAGAGAAGGACCATTTCGATCTTGTAACTTTCTCTCTAATTTCTCATCTCTTCTCTGATTTTCTATACAATCTAAGCTTTTCTCATATCTATGCGCTGGTAAAATAAAATAAAGGGTTATCTTTTTTATTTTAATATTTATATTTTAAAAAACTATTACTTTAACTTCCTCCCATTGATATGGCTCTAAAAAATGACATGAAACAAAAAAATTAACATGTGAAATCAGTTAGTTATGTCATCATTTAAAAGTACTTAAGGATTAAAATTAAAAGATAATACAGTATGAGAGACCAAAGCTATATATTTAAGCAAAAAAATTATATTTCAGCTCACTTGTTCTATTAAGGCCAATCTGTGAGTCAAATGAAACCCTAGTGTTTTTCTGTTGGTATAAAGTTTAAGGGACATTTAATTAAATGAAAAAAAAATTCCTTTTCTCGTAAGGCCTGTAATAAATAACTTTTTAACGAGTAATCAAATACGGTGAAAATTTTATATGCACGCATGTCCTTATGGGGAGAAAGAATCCTAATATGCTTCTAGAGTTGAGAAAGCGCTTGAACATAGTGAGCAGTGGATTCGCATATTGGGTGTGATATTGATCCTTGAAAACACTTAATTAGAGTTAGCTACTTATCGGCAATGCCACGACTATAAGGGGCTGTCTACTTGTCTCTTATTGAAGTGGTCCTGTTCGATGACAATTGATTTCACCTCTTACGTCGCACATAATAACAAATTGCCTTTCCTTTCCGTCATGGACCCTCTAAGCACTGTGTAACCTCATCTCATTAACTTCACATTAGTACAACTTAAGTGCCGTACTTGGAGAACAAGACAAGCTAATTTAAGCCTGTTAAGCCCATTCAATGATCCAATGCCTTCACAAAGGAATATTATAAATGGAAAAGTTAACGTGACTTTGGAAAGAATACGTTGATCCAGAGTAAAAATGCTAGGAAAAACTCAAATTTAGTCATTTAAAATTATGTGTATTACAACGTTAATCTTTTAAAAAAGATATTTATCGAATAAAATATTCAAACATTTGAATTATATTTAAACATTTTATTACTAAATTATTATGAATCTAGGTATAAATCGTAGACATTTTTCAAATAATTCCCTACCCGTTGACATATATGGATGGTAGTATACGATTTGTTCTTTTGGGAAGGCTAAAGTAAATATAAAATATCTTTAAATGATTAATTTGATTATAAATTAAAATAAAAATTTTGATTGAAAAAAATCGAATAATGCAGATAATATTAGCAAATTATAACGAGAATTATCTAAATAATAAAAGAGAAATATTATTCTTGCAACTATTTTTCATACCTAATTTGAGAACTGTAAATATGGATATAAAAAATTGAAATAAAATGAGCAATGTCATGAAGAGAGATAAATAAAAAATAATATAACTGAACAAATTACAGAGTGAGTGAGTGGTGTATCCCATGGGTTGGGCAAGCAAACGGATTGACAGCTACAAGAATAGGGCCCAAAAGAGTCCCACACACCGTTCTATCCTTTCACACTTGTTCCCGTTCCCCATTTATTTTCTCGACCTTTTTCAACGGATACAACATTCCAACGACACCACCACATTGGCACATAATTATTTCAACATTGATCAGTTTCTTGCAGAAACCAATGGCACTTGTAATGTCTAAATGCTTGATTACATACTTTCCTTAGGTAAGTTGAAAATTGCTGCTGCTAATTAATCACTTTGACTGTCTTCAATCCAATTGCAGTAATTTTTTTGCCTTCTTTCTTTCTTTTATTGAGTTACAGTTTTAAAGCAAGTTTTCAGCTCAGAATACGCAAGTGTTGCTGTATACCTTCTTTAGATTGTGACATGACCTAGATTTGAAATGGGACAATCTTCTATTTTCTTGAACCTGTTATTTATTACAATAGATAAACTATTATTTGAAATTGAGGTGGAACTTAAAGAAACTCTCTTCATGCGAGATAAGATTTGAGACAACAACTATAGTAACTTTTTTAAATACTTGTTTTACTCTTTACACAGTATACTTTTTTCAATAAAAAAATAATCTTCTATATTGTTTTATACAAGAATAATAACATTTTTTTTTTCATTTTACTCATTTTCCTTCTTTTAATTAAATAACAAAACAAATATTTTTTTACTCGTTTTTTCTCTCCCGCTTTTGTTTCTTCATTCTTCCTACATCCAATCAAGCCATTTTGGTTCTAAAATCTTGCTTTCTCTTTGACCAACACCATGTCTAGTAGGCTGGTCCATTTGTTATATAAGCATGTGTGACCCATGAAAATAATGCCTGCTAGGTTTGGCTGGTTCTTACAAACTTTTATCCTTGCTTCGATTTTTTAGACGACTAACATTATTTGTATAGGAAAATATTTAGTGTATTGTTAAAATGGGATATTTTTAAGTATTTTTCATATTTAAAATGACTTTTTGTATACAATAAATAAATAATATATAATATCACATATGACATAAATTTTTAATAATTTAAATAACAAAAATAATTATTAGGTAAATGGAGTAAAAAGGTCACACAAGCCTGATTAACAAGCACAAATCATTCTAAGGGTAGATTCATAAAAAAAAATTGACTCTTCCTTGTTTTATTTTTTTATATTTTTATTTCTTAAACTTTAATTTAGTGGTATTTACAGTTTTTTTTTATTGTATACACTTTTGATGGTCTTATATTCACATTTTATGTGTTTGCTTTGATGCTAAACATTATTTTCTGTACCTTTTAGTCTAATTGCATTTAATTTCAACTTCTTTTTTGTCACCTCAATTTGATGTCAAGTCAAAATAAAACTCCTCCGTTTATTTAAGCTTGGAACTTCACGTTAATTAGTGTAACGCCAATTTGAGTATATCAAGCTTATTCATCTGTTAGAAATCTGCCAAAGATCAACTTGACCATCATCTAATCTTGTAGATATTTGCATCATTAATGCATAAAAAACGTAAAATTATATCAATATTTTAGAAAAATACATGTAAATGTTTTACCTTACATCATCATCAATCATCATCATAATAATAATAAAAAAAAAATTACGTAAGAATAAAAACTTTACAAAATGGTAAAATTTTATTAATAACTAAATTATAAAGATAAAAATATTATTTAAATAATGATTATTTTATTATATAAATAAATTTCCACATTACATAATGGTTGAAACTGCTCATGTATTTATGTAGATGTTTAAACGTGAAAAATAAATATGAACATCGTAAGAGTTGTATTTCGAGCTTATAACTTGGACGACAGTGCTGCTATTTTGGGATGCATGGAGTTACACGATGGTATTGGCGACGATTAAGTTTGGATGATATTTTGGCGGAGTAATAGTATAGCTAGCATGTCTTACTTCAGTCTGGTCTTTTATCTTTTATAAGCGTTAATGTGCATTTGTTAAGTGATTGTCTCGTCCCAGATAACACAAGGGAGGAAAAGAGATTCTAAAAAGTACCGTCTTTAATTGGTAAGGCCATGTTTGGTGTAGAAGATAAGTTACATAACTCAAATTAGGGTATGAGTTTTGGCCATGAGTAGGTACAAATATGAGTTATTATTATTCCCATACCTTTTTATACTGCGTTATAACGGGTGTGAAGGGCAGAACCCCCTAAGCAACAAAAGAAAGGCCTAAAAGATACAATTCCAAGCATGCAGGGGGTTTCCTTTTGCTTCACCGTTTTAGAAATTAGATTTTAGAGTTAATTTTTAAAAGGTATTATAAAATTTTATATATGAAATATTAAAGAAAAGTTGGCGTTGCTAAAAGAGAGGGTAAAAGGAAATGACCAACAATGCAGCATCATACCTCTGCACATAGAAGAGGGAAGAAAAGACGCTTTTGACTTGATTGGGCTAGTGGCAGGCGGCAGCAGACTAAACAAAAAACTGCATGGTCCCGAAAAGCTTAATCAATTTTATTAAGTTGATTTTATATGTTAATATTATAAAATTTTCAAAAACATTTAAAGTAGATTTAATCAATTCAATGTTAAAGTAGGTTTTTAAAATCAAGTTAGAATTTTAAAAAGATAAAGGTATGCCTTAAATGTATCGAGGAAATAGGTCAAATTTAAGATTTTGATTTGACAAATGGGTTATATTCAAGTTTTGTAAAGCCCAACCCATTTTTTACCCTTGTTAAGGACTCAAGGAAAATAATATGTGTGGTACTATAGTATTTTGCTTTTTATGTATATTTAATGAAATTTCTTGTGTATTGTATGAATATTATTAATTTTTTTAAAAATTAAATACGTATTGCATAACTATTTTAAATTTTAATAAAATTTATAAATTGAAAAAAATACCTTTTTTTTATTATTGATAATAAGTACTTTATTACATTAAACATGATATAATTAAAAATAATATTTTAAAAATTAATACAGAACTATATAATGTAACTTTTTTATATAATATTTTCGTGTATTTAATTTATATTTAAAATAAAATATAAATATAAATTGCATAAATATTTAAATTTTTAAAAAATTATAAATTAAAAAATACTTTGTTTATTATTAATAATAAGTACTCCATTGTACTAAACGTGATTAAATTAAAAAATATATTTTCTAAAATTAAGAAAGAACCATAGAAAATTAAAATTTTAAATTAAGATTAATTATAATTATAAAATTTTAAATTTTAGTTTTTCAAAATAAATATTTTCAATTTGATATACTGTATCAAAATTTAAACTGAGTTAAATTTAAAATAATAAAAAACAGTTTCCTTTAATGTTTTTTTGGTAAATACGAATTAAATTTATATCCGAATTGTCAATTGGCATCCCTAATTAATATTTTTAAATGCAACAGTTTTTTCTTTTAATAGCACAATTCATATGACAACAAACAGATCAGAAAAAAGTGCTCGGAATGGAATTCTTGACGTGTGACTGTGAGGTATATGATAGGACAATGGCAGTCATTAAATGAAATGGTTAGATGTAATAAAATTGGATTAAGAGTCTTCCAATTATTGAATCATTCAACAAAAAAGAGAAAATTTCATTTATTTTATACAGTTGACAATATTTTTCTCTCTCCTACTAAATGGTTCAGTGTTGAAGATAATTTTTTTCAAGAAAAGATAATAAAAAGAAAAAAGACAGGAAAGAAAAAGAGAAAATAAATGGAGAATGAAAAGATTTTAAAATTACTTGAATTAATTAAAAGAGAAAAGAAAAGTAGAAACAAAAGTTAAATTTTACATTTGTTTATTTAATTGGGTAAAAAAAAGATAAAAATATTCTTACTCCCAGTTATTTTTCCCTCTGTTATCTTATTCACTCAGTTTTCTCTCACACTTCTTTTCTGGTACTTTTTGGTCCTTCCAAGTTCCATCAAACGAAACACAAGCTAAATCATCAATCAACAAAAGTATGAAACTGATAATAATCAACATAGGCTCTATTGATTGATATTTATAATTTAAAACAGAGCCAAAAATAAAATAGAGCATAATTATTTAGTTCTGACTATAATTTGACAAACCATTAACTATCGGTAACCCAATGGCGAACATTTATGGTTTTTATACATTTTTGGCAATTAGATGAAAGTTGTGAAATGAGATGAGTACCAAGTTGGTCACCGTCAAATTATCTGGTTCCTACCCGCAAACGCCCAGTGCGGTTTAGCTGGAGTTCTCTTCATTGCCTTCACTCCAAAGGGGTCATTCTTACTCTACAATAGACAATCTCAAAGAATCAGTTATATATACGTGGGAATTCAAAGGCATGTCATCTATGGGAAATTTGACATTTTTACGAATTGATGTTAAAGTCTTTACCATATGACAGGTCCCTGCATAAATGTTGCAGATAGGATAATCATGCGGGCAACAACTTGAGTGATCTTCACAGCAGGTAGCAGCTTCAAAAGCACAACATCCCCACCCATAACAATAATTTGCCAACTCAAAAACACAACAACAAGTAGTGCCTTCAACACAACTGTAGTAATTATCACAAACATGTGGCGGCTTCACTGGTGAAGGAGGTGATGGTTCACGATTTGGAGGATTTTGGCCCCTCTTTATGGGATAGGAGGACAAAGTTGTAATTCCACACTTTCCGGCTCTACTTTTTGGTAAATTACGCTCCATTCTAATATAACCTTCCTCTCCCCAACTCTTGCCCCATGAATTTTTCACTGTCCAATAATCAATCCAATCTTCTGTTCCATACCCAACAACTGTAACACCATGGTCTAATGCTGTCCCACATTTTCCTCTGAATATACCCTAACAAAATTGACACTGATCGCTTTCAAATGGCCTTGGAAAAATATAACAGCAAATGCTTAAAAGTTCAAACTTCATTAACAATGTGTCAACAAATGATTAGTGTCTCATTAATGTAAATTATTCTTGAAAATTGAATAAAATTCATAATCCATCTCATTAAATCAAGTAGGATGTTTCATTTGGTCCTTTTTATAATTCTTTTTGTTGGTACTTAAAAGATTTTTTATAAAATTTTAAAAATATTTATTATTTATTTACATATTTATTTTTTATTGTTGAAAATTTTTAACATTTTAATCATTACTATAATAATATAGTTTATTTTAATTCAAGACAAACTAAGAATGCTGTGACTAGTTTTTTTTTTAAAAAAATATGTTATTAATTCGGCAACTTTTTTTAATGCGTATGATTTAATTGAATTTTTATAAAAAAATAAAAATAAGTACTTATTTAAATTCACATTTAAACGATCATATACATTTACTTCAAATCGAGTAGTTATAATTTTTTTATATTAACTTTACGTTTACACAAATTTTTCAAATTGCTAATTGTTTACTTTTTCTCTGTGCTCACAATGTAGTTGGCATTAGTCCTTTACTTCTTAAATAAAGTTGAATAAGAAACTTACTGATTCGTATAACTGAAACTCCCTACCGCTCGCTTCAATGGCAACGCTCACTGGTTGATTTGCTACAGCCTTTTTCAAGGCTAACTCATCATAGGCAGGAACATCTTCGTAGGCATCAATTGTAACAAGTCCTACATTTTTCTGTGAATAAGAGAGGAAGAAAAAATTATTTAAATATTACAACGAAACTATGACAGAACATTTACTTATTTATTATTTATATATCAAATGATAAAGCCGAAACTTACCTTATATCGGTCACATATACCATCAACCCCTCGATAGGGGTAACTTTCTTCGGTGTGAATGCCACCATTGTTTATAATGAACTCAAAGGCATAATCCATGAGTCCGCCATCACATCCTGCATTAACTGTTCTGTCACAATCCACCAATTCTTGCTCTGAGAGTGAAATTAGATCGCCTGTTACTATCTTATTAATCCCTTCCACTGCGGCGATTGCAGAGAATGCCCAACAACTACCTTCGTTTGAAAACAGAAAAAACATAGGCAATCAGCTTTTTTATGTCATACATCTCAACATATACATACTTTTTTCTAAAAATTAGGTGAAGAGAAATTAGGGACATTATTTTTTAAAATTTTTAGTAAAGCCTAAATTTTAGTTTTTTATGCTTTATTTTTATATAATTTTGCCGTGTATCGAATTTACACTCTATATTAATTATATGGTGTTTAGGTACAGGTCCTGCTGCTGGCTCTTTTAAACAACTAATTGAATAATACAAAGTTAAAGCCTAAAAGTGCACACGAGACCAGAAGATTTATGTATCAATTTATTAAGATAATATATATTCATTGTACATCATCATTATTAATATAAAGTATCAATATTTTGAATACTATCAATATACTGATGAGCGTAATATCTATTCAATGAAAAATAATTAAAATGTAACACTTTATTTAATGCACTCAAATTTAATATATTCATATTTAGTTCAGTATATTCTAAAAATTTGCTTAATGGGTTCCGATTAAACATTTAATAAATTTATACAAATTATCTCAATTAGAGCGCTGGATCTTTGACCATTTACATGTTTAGGTCTTTTCATTTTAGAGTATTCACACTTTTTTCCTTAAATATGATACTAGTCTTTTTTAATTGCTTAATTTAGGGCCTTCGTACATAATGAGAATCTGAAGTGTGACAGACGCAGTCTCATGTGCATATATCATGTTAGCTATGCCCCATTATACGGTGGTTTAGACTTTGAGATGAAATTGAATTCTTTAAGTGCACACATTTTTTACATGAATTTTTTAAAATGGCTTATATAATATTTACATTAAGTGTCTGAAATAATTATGCTTGGGGAGTGAGATTAGGAAATTAAAAAAATATTGTTTCATTTGATAATTTTTAAAATAAAATAATAAATTAACTCACATCTATCTAACATCTTATAATATATACGAGTCCATTTTTCTATGAATAGATGTACTCCTAGTTATAACACGAGCTTAAAATTTTCACCTGTATTTCTAAAAATGAATATTATTTTTATTAAATAATACAATTTGTATATTATATATTTAATTTTACTTTTGGGTTAATATTTTATTTCTTTCTAAATTATATTATATCAAATTAAAATATTTTTAAATAAATTTTAATATTATTATAATCTTAATTTCAATTTATGTTTTAAATTTTAACATCAGATATCAATAAAAGTAATGTTTCATAATATAAAATGTCTTACTGTTTAATTTAATCATATTCAAAAAATATTTATCATTAATAATAAAAATATTCTTTCACTTGTTATGAATTTTTTAAAAAATAATTATGTAATATAGCTTTTTTTAATTTAAATATATCCTTACCATGCAAAAAAAATGTTGTTAGTTATTGAAAAAAAATCATAGTGAGTAGCTCATAGAAGTAAGGAATCAGAAGGACTAGCCTCCGTGAAGGGATAATTTAAAAATAAAAACCTAGCCAGGTGTGTTTGGGATATTAATATGAAAAAAGGAATCATTTACCATAAAACGGGCAAACATGATAATGGGTAAACAGGACACGCATGGCAGTGTATTACTTACCGCAATTTCCTTGGTCTTTGACTCGTACGACGGCACCTTTCTTCCTCCAATCAATAGATTTCGGCAATTTGTCGCCCACGCGCGGAGCGTAACGGTTGCTGGGCCTGGCCACCCTTAGATCAATCTTGGCTCCCAAATACTTGGTCCGGTACTCCTCGTTGCTAAGATCAGCGAACCGGTTCAATCCAACCTTGTATGTCCGGTTCTCTGCGTTGTGCTCGTCGATAAACTTGAGGTTGTCTTTGAAGATCTCGAACCTCTTCTCCTTCTCGCCCAGCGCGTTATAAACTTTACCATGTTTCACAAGCCACTTCTCGTATATAGCCATTACTTCCTCGTCACTCCTCCACGCTGCCTTGTCCGAGGCCAATGACACTGCGAAGACCGTGAACGCGATGAGGATCTTGAACATTACCTTGGCACATCCATTCCTTCCCATTTTCTCTCGATATTTTGTGAAGATTGAAGAAGTCCTTCGATGAGTGATTGGGGTCTGAGACAGGTGTGTATAGTGATTTAAATATATAAAGTATCGGCGAGGGATGGTGATGAACCCCGAGACAATTTGAAATACAAATAAAAATAAATTAAACTTTAAAAAATCTATTAAAATGAAAGCACGTGGGTTTTAAAAATATTTATAAAACGTGTTATATTATATTACACTTATTTATATATATTTTTCTTTTTATTATATTTACACTTAAAAATATGCAAACAGGAAACGGTACTTTGTCCATGAAAAATTTTCATAAAACATTTTTCAAATTTTGGATATACAATTCTTTATCTACAAATTATTTTACTTTCTCTGATATAATTTTTTCTTTAAAAATAAAGTCCTGAAATGCTTTTTTTTTTTTTTGCAAAATCTATTTTGTGATCTTATCCAAATACATTTTTAGACACAAGCTGCGAATATTGAATTTTTAAACAAACAGGTACGTTACCATTAATGAATTTTGAGATAAACTACTTAAATGAGTTATCCTGTATTAAAACAAAACAAATATTATAATGACTTAACGTGTTTTTAACATGCTAATCAATGATTTAAAAATTTATAAGAATACATTTTAAGTATGTTAAATATTACTATATTTTCAATCACATTGGATAATTCATATAATCTTAATTCAAATGCGTTAATGATAATATTTATAGTTTGTATTTCTGATAGGAAAACATTAATCTCCTGATCTCTATTTGAGTAGGATGACGTCTTTTTGTACGTTGTTGATGTGAGGATAATACCTGCAAAAGACACTCCGATACTGAAGTCAGGTCTCGATGGTGAGCCATAAATGTTATTAAATATTCAAAAGTCAACCTTTTACTTGTACCTCTTACCTTCCTTTTATAAGAAATATTATGGGCTAATAGACTTGCTAAGTCAACCCTGATTTTGGTCCTTTAATTAGAGTAGATAATAATTTGACTATTACCCTTAATTGGGTTAATTACCTTTAATCCTAACTGAGAGGGTATTTGGCTTATCTTGACAGAGGGGGGTACTCGGTTCTCTTTTTCTGTAGGTAAGACCAAGTAGTATCTTATCTGATACACTAGCCCCCAAAGCCCGAAGAGGTACGATGCAAAGGTTTGATAAAATACTTATCCATGATATGTAGACAAAAGGATATTCAGTTTTAGTCAAGAGATAAGAGTATCGATGAGGTATTTGGTTGTGATGAGGAGGTAAGTAAACCGAAGGGGTATTCGGTTTAATAGAGAGATAAATAGGTCGATGACACACAAACCGAAATCCTATTCAGTTTTAGATGTAAGTAAAAAATAATTAAAAAATACAAATAATATAAATAATGATTTCGGCCACTTTAGGGTGTCAGAGATTTTTTTGTTAAAGTTTCCTCGTTTTGTGTGCCCCTGAAAACGAAAGGGTGCCTGATCACATTCGTAGATCTAGGAAAGATCTGACGATTAGGAAGGGATATGACCATTCGTATGCCCGACACCTCTGATTTTATAAATATATGATGGTTCAGGCCTTTGTTTACACCTTTTTGCTCTAAACCGAAGGGTGCATACTATTCCTCTAGACCAAGTGGTATACACTGCTTTTAGAAGTTTTTCTTCCTTTTTCCAACTACTACAACAAGGTACGCTTAGTCATTCATTAATTTTTCCTTTCTGCAATGGTCGAATCCTTAGAGTGGGATAACTCATTGTCTGATTCATCGAGGCCGACTACTGTTGAAGTTCATAGTGTTAGAGGAACCGAAGAGGGTGAGGTTCTTTCAAGGCTAAGTGGGGCGGAGGATGAAGTAGAACAAATAGTTAGGGAATGCAGTGATGGTGCCAAACCGTCGGGAGGTGCCGATGATTCTGAAACTACCCAATCATTGTCGAATGCGAGCCCCCCTAGGAAAGACCGGTATTCCCTCCTTGTACAGTTCCTGACTATGAATGGGTCTATTGTGAAGTGGTCGCCTACTTCTCACACTTTCAAAGGAATAGGGATCTCCAATCCTTTGTAGACCATTGTGATATATCACTATGGGAATCTTCAGATCCGTATCCTATCGTTATCGATACCTGCTGGGGGATGGCTCCAGCAATCTTGATTTAGTATTTTTATCCCGACACCTTCTTTGTATACGAATATATGTTTAGAGAATTAGGTATAATGTTACCCTTTGATAACTTCCAGATGGGAGTACTGCAGGTTCTAAATGTAGCGCTGACACAACTCCATCCGAATGGGTGGGTGGCTATACAAGCCTTTAGAATTCTTTGTAGGTTTCATTACATAGAACCTAGTGTACGACTGTTTTTTCATTTTTTTTTGTACTCGTCCTTCGGACATGGCAAGATGGGTGTCCTTAATAAGGCAACCTGAACTGCCTTTATTCAAACCATATGCATCTTCCTTTAAGGGTTTTAAGACCGGTTTCTTCAAAGTAACCGTGCACCCTATAGGTAGGAAATACTTATTCGATAGCGAAAACAACCCGTTTTTCCCCTTCCACTGGACCTGGGTACCTCGTCGTTTCGACGTTTTCCCCGAGGACTTGTTGTCGGCTGAAGAGATGTCGGCCCTGGAGTGCTTAAAGTCTCTTCCCCGAGAGCTTTCTGTCTGAGCCCTCATCCTTTTGTTGAAGTCTCCTTATCCTCGTCTGGACATGGATGGTATGCTTTGTTTTTATAGTGTAGTTTGAATATTGAGTTATATTGATTTGACTTTTTGTTTGTATTATAGGTCTGATGGCTCAAAAAGGAGTTAACATGCCGACTTATTGTCACGGTTTGAGAAGGCAAACTCCAGGTGACGTGTCGGTTGAAGAGCATCGCCATCCCCAACTCGACAATGTTCCAGAGGTAACCGAACCTCGCCATCCTCCCCGAGACCTTGTTCTTGACGAAGGTTAGCCAAAAAAGCGCAAGGACAAGGGTAAGGAAAAAGAGCCCAAGAGGGAGAGGAAGCGAAAACATTATCGTTCGGCTGTATGCTCTGGTTGCTGAGCCGGGAGGTGGTAGAAGCTCTTCTACCAATTCCGTGATTCTTCCAGGGTTTTGTTTGAATCTTTCTTTGGTAATGAGGTTCAGGATGACCTACTTTCTGAGTCGAGGCGCAATATAGTCAATTTTCTAAAACATAAATCCTATAGCAGTGTTACTCAAAGCTACAAGCCCGAGCCTCAGTATAGTTTAATTATAATAAATGGTTTTAGTATCTATTTTTTTAGATAATATTTGATAACGAGAACTTTTCATTTATATAGATATTTTTTAAAATGTAGTTTTTAAGAATAATGTTTCTAGAAAAATTACACAATATATTTCAATATTTCATAATTTTGTAAAAAAAAATAAAGTCAATTATTATGAAAGAAGTTTAATAGTTTTATAATTAAAAAATAATATTTTAAATTATTTACTAATTAACATTTTAACACACATTTTACGTCTATAAATTATTTAATTCCTTTTATCGTACACTCACGTGTTTGAGTGTGTGTCTATTAATAAAAGGTTAAAATGTTGATTATGTCAAACTTTGTCTAAGTACAATGCTTAAACAATAATAAGTGAAAAAATGAATATAACTTGCAGTAAAATATATATGAATGATATTAAATAATATATTTTTAATAAATATTTGTTTTTTTATTAATTTAAATATTATTTTATAGATAATAGTGACAGATAGTGAATTATAAAGTAATATTTATTTTTTTAAAGATAAAATGTCGATATTTAAGTGTTGTGGACGTATTAATTAAATTAGAAATATAATTTAATAATTTGTGATATTATTAGATATAAATATTATAATAAAATAAAAATTAAATTTTAATTAATAAATAATACTAACAGAACTTGTAAAATAATATTTAATTTTTTGAATGGAATTTTTTTCCTGACCTTTTTACCCAGGCGTAAACACGGTAGTTATAATAATGAATGATAATACCAGAAAGTTAGAAACTAGGTTGCCCTTTCGAAAAAGGCATGCCACGTCTTCTTTCTCCGGTGGATAATAGGCTGGGAAAAGACTAAAGATACTGCAACTTGTTTAAATCAATGTTTTGTTTTTTTCATTTGTCACTGTCACCGTTACCACACTGTTATCGCGGATGCTATGCTATGTCAATTTTATGTTTATTATAGCTAACTAGGCGTTACGTGGTTTTTTTTATATGAAAAAAAAAACGAAAGATTATGAAAATATTAAAACCTTTAAAGATAGTAAGTCACGAATTTTTTTATATTTAATTTTAAATTTATCACGTCGCTTTTTACTCAATTCAATGTTATTCACATTACACCTCGATGCTTCTTTTAATTCTCTTTCAAAACTGAATTCTTCTCTTTCTCCGCACTCATCACGTATAGTCTGAGCGCAGCCACGCATTAAGCTAATTTCTTAAAGCCTCAACCTCAACATCTTCTACTTTTCTAGATTCTTCAACACACTTCTCTTTCCTTCTTTACAATTTTATGCAGTTTTCTTTATACCTACTCTCAATTACGATTTTTATCTCAAATCCTGATGTTTTGGTCTATTGTAGAGTTTATCTATGAGAAAAATGAGATGATCTATTGTGTTGGACAACAAATTTTGTTGTAGATTATTAAAAATAATATTTTAAAAATACTTAGGATATTAAATAGTACCATAGGAACCCCTCCCCGAAATTGTCAACTTCTTCCATTCAACTGTGTTTTTCCTTCTCCATAACTCTTCAAACTTGATTCATGTGTAGAACTTTAAAATATATATGTTTATGGATGCTTAAATATTTGGACACGTGTATCTGCAAGAAACTATATAATGTAAGGCTTTTAAAAGGATACATTTGAAACTCAACATTTAATTATTGATTTCAAAATAAATTTCTTTGGTGTTAAATTCTTTTTACTGCTATAATCTTTCTTTAACCATGAATCTGTGATTTTAATTTCTACTTGGCGTTATGTATGTTATTTGCTTTCAATATCCCTTTGGTAATTCTTTTATTCAGCATTAATGTTGATAGATCAGGATTAAGCCATCGCTACATCAATGGCGGCAATGGAATAGTGTACGATAATGATTCCAACCGCAATATTTTTCCTCCCAAAAAAATCGCAATATTTAAGAGTTTGAGTTATTGCTATCTTTAGAATATTCTTTTACTGCAGATTAAAATAACGTTATTCTTTGTATTATAAGCCTTTCTTTAAAATATTCTTTCACTGCAGGATAAGATGACGTTTTTTTTTGTATTATAAGTCTTTCTTTATCTGATGTAAAAAATGTATATGTAAAAGGTAGTCTGATGACAAAGTAAGATATTAATAAATGCTTATTTAATATTTAAAGTTAATCTTTTACTGTTCTTTTATAAACAATATTATGGGTTAATAGATTTTGTGAATCAGTTTTTATTTTAGTCATATAATTAAATAAATAATAATATAATTATTTATTTTAATTAATTTAATTATTCTTTAATCTAACTGATGAAGTACTCATCTTATTGAAGCTGAAAAGATATGTAAATTTATTCTTTTATCTTTAAGATTGACTGATATTCTATCTAATTTAATAATAAAAAAGAGTTAACTAATAAAATGACTTTTATAATTGTTAAAATTATTTTTATTTAAGAATTGTGTCTTATATTATAGATGAAGAGGTAGATACTATTATATATTTTTTTATATTTCATAAAAAATGTTCAAAAAATGCATCTTTCGTTTTCAAAACATACGAATCTTAACTAAGTTTATTATTTAATAAGTAAATAGATCAACAAAAACATTGTAAGGGACCTTGAAAATATTATTTTCAAATCCACACATGTACCTAGATAAAAAAAAATAAAAATGCACGGGTAGCATTTTAATACATGAACCAGACTCGTTCCTCATGGGTTAGGTAACTTAAATATGATATTGCTTCTTTTTTTTTAACAATGATTGTGATATTAACATATTAACGCGGAGGAAATTTTACTTTTAAACAATATTTATAAAAAACACAATATATAATGTAATTAAAAAATAATGAAAGTATCACAACTAGGTGGATTAATTAATAGAAATTGTTGTCCAGAGTAGAGTAGACTGGAACTCTACCTAGAACAATAAGTTAATCCACGCCCTCACGATCATTACGCTTGTATTTGCAAACCTATGTAGATATATTTTTATAGTCTAAGACCTATTTAATGTTTCTAAAAACAATGGTTTCTTCCTTTAATAGCATAATTCACATGACAACGAAAAAAGACGAGAAAAAAATAAATCATCGGGCATATGGCAATGGAAATTTTAATTTGTGAGATATAAGGGAGCACAAAGACATTCATCGAGACAAATGATTGGGTGTGAAAACAAAATGCAGTCAGGAGAGAAACAAGAGAGAAAAGAAATTACGTAGACAGCAAAAATTATTTAAATTGATAGTAAAACAAAAAAAAATATTTTAGTATAAATCAATTTTGTCCTCATAACAATTTATAATTTTATTGAAAACAAAAACCATTGGTATTCATTTTTTATTCCTTTATATCAATTCAGAAACAGTTATTCAGTGCACAATTTAATTGGTTGAGCCGCACCGCCCTTCAATCAGATGCAAGAAACAGTTATTCTTCGATATATACCAGTGGCTCACATAAACAGAAGTCACGTGCCACGCCACCGCTCTACAACTAAAGACACTAGAGCACCAAATCAGTTGGTTTTTGGTGTTCAGTATTTGATCGCTCGAAATTTCATTTGATTGATATTTTTTTACCTCAAAAGTTAGCATAAATTTGACTAGAAAGAAATTAATAACAAAATATGAATAATAATTCATCTTTTTATTTGATTGAAATTAACAAAATAAAATTTAAACCAGTTAAATAAGTATCATTATTGGAGATTAAGCGTCTATTACAAATTTGATTTAAATAAAATTTTGAAAATATTTATTTTATTAAAAATACATTTAAAATAAAAATGACAATAAATTTGATTAAAATTATTATTTTAGAAATATTACTTTTAATAAGAAATCTTAAAATAATAAATTTAAAATTGAAATCATAAGAAGCAGAAGGGGAAGAGTGTATGTGTTCTCACTCATACTAATGTACCTCACATTCACGTGACTCTGACCTATGCACTCAGACACCCTTTTGTCACGTTCTGCTCGCTTCTCGCTGCACTTGTAAAATGTAAAACGCCCTATTCCCATTCCTCGTAGCCTAGTCCATGAAATGGTTACCGAACACACACAAAAAACACAGTGTTTTAAAATCACTTGCCACACCAAAGTCTCTTATCGACCTTGATCTCAACTTCGTTCAACAATGCCGAAGAAGAAAAAGCAGTTGGCTTCGTTCATTCATCAACAGTTATTGCTGATACTGTTTCTGCTGTTGCTCGCGTCAGGTGCACTTGCCTCAAAACTCGCACGCCGTCATCTTCCGCCGTTAGTTTTCGCGGACGCCAGCGCCCTACTTGCGTTCAAAGTAAAAGCCGACGTGAACAAACACCTAGACTTCTCCCCAACCACGCGCGGCCTCCGGTTCTGCGCGTGGGAGGGCGTGGAATGTAACGGAGCCAAAGTGGTGCGTCTCGTGCTGCAAGGCTTAGATCTCGGAGGCGTTTGGGCTCCCAACACACTGTCACGTCTCGACCAACTCCGAGTCCTTAGTTTGCAAAACAACTCCCTCATCGGACCCATACCGGACCTCACCGGTCTCTTCAATCTCAAAAGTCTTTTTCTCGATAACAACCACTTCATCGGTTCCCTCCCTCCCTCACTCTTCATCCTTCACCGCCTTCGAACCTTGGATTTCTCTCACAATAACCTCACCGGATCAATCTCCACCGCTTTCACCAACCTTGACCGCCTTCACTGCCTCCGTCTTAGCTGGAACCACTTCAACGGTTCCATTCCTCCGTTTAACCAGTCTTCTCTCCGAATCTTTGACGTTTCCGGCAACAACCTCTCCGGCGCCATTCCGGTCACTCCCGCACTGTTCCGTTTTCAGGCTTCTTCCTTCGCTTTCAACCCTGGCCTCTGCGGCGAAATCATCCGCAAAGAATGCCGTCCAGCGGAGCCTTTCTTCGGACCTTCCTCGCCGCCAGCGGCGGGGCTCGGCCAGAGCGCGCAGGTCCACGGCGTCAACGGCTTGATCCGGCAGCCGTACGAGAAGAAGCGCCGCGACCGGAGGGCGATGATAATCGGATTCTCGGCCGGAGTATTCGTTCTGATAGTTTCGCTGGTGTGCTTCGCGGCGGCGGTGAGGAAGCAGAGGTGTCGGAGCAAGAAGGAAGGTTGTTCGGGGATGATGGCGTCGGATGCGGCGGCGACGGCGGAGGCAGCGGCGGTGATGCAGATGGAGTTGGAGAGGGAGTTGGAGGAGAAGGTGAAGAGGGCGGAGGTGGCGAAGAGTGGGAGTTTGGTATTCTGTGCGGGTGAGGCGCAGGTGTATACGCTGGAGCAGCTGATGAAGGGTTCTGCTGAGTTGTTAGGAAGAGGGTGTCTGGGAACTACTTACAAGGCAGTTTTGGATAACCGTCTAATTGTAACGGTGAAACGACTTGATGCAACGAAAATGGCTGCGCATGCGACTAAGGAAGTGTTCGAGAGACACATGGAAGCAGTGGGTGGGCTTCGACACCCCAATTTGATTGCACTTAGGGCATACTTTCAGGCCAAGCAAGAGAGACTCATTATCTATGATTTCCAGCCCAATGGCAGCCTCTTCTCCCTCATACACGGTACACACCCCTTCTCTCTTTCTTCATTCCCCGTTACTTACTGAGCTAGCGCCGATTCATTCCTACTCGCTGCACTCTACACTTAATTTATTTTCTATGCAAACTGTTAAGTTAATTGAAATTACAACAAAGTATTAATTAGGAGAAAGTTAGGACATAGGTGCTGACAGTGTTATTTCTTTATTAAAATAATTATTTTTAATTTATAATAATATTAAATATAAACATTTTATTAAAATAAAACTTTATTTTGATAATTGTTAAATTTAAAAACAAAATTAACTTTAGTTAGTGCATCTCATTGGTGTGATCAAAATAACGGTGGTGACTAGAATTCAGAAGACGGGATTTTTGGTGCGTGGAAAGTTTTTGGAATTCCCTTTTGCATGTGATTTTCACATTTGGATTTGATAGCGTTTGAGCTTTTCAATCAGCACCGAGAATCTTGCTGACGAGTGACTACATAGGTATTGCTTTTGTAAGTGTGTGGATTAAAGAATTATTTTAAGATGGGATGGGGAATTAATTAAACAAAACATGGGTCTAGTGACTAGTCTTACTAAATTGTCTGGTCCGTGTCGGATAGCGAGCTGTTTTATGGCACCTCCCTCCTTGGGACCTATATGTCTGAGGCTGATAGATGCTACTATTACTTGAGGACCGGTTTTTCCATTACTAGCAAATAGTTATAGCTGTAGTGCTTTTATTTTCACTTCGTCTTTACACTTTTAGGCATTGCCAGTTGGGGTTTGGATAGAGCTCTGTTAATTACTTTGCCAGACACTGCTCAATTCGGGACGGGTAGATCACGTTGAAAGGTAAACTTGGGCATTATTTTTTTTGGGGAAGAGGGGGGGGGGTTATGGTAGAACGAGCATTCAGAAGCCATTAAATTTGCATAGCCACTACAGCAGGATTCCGCACCATCGTGGGTAGGAGGTGGAACCCAAGGTGCTTGGTGCTTATAGTTTACCGATGGCCTATATCTAATTCTTTGTCCTTGTGGGGCCCTGCAATCCCTGCGCATGTACTGTTTAATTGTATTCCGTGATGAAATTTGTGAGTGTGATAAAGTGATTTAGTGAGACGCCGGTCTTGGGCTTCTCTAGATACGTACCAGACTGCATTGAATCAACTGCCACGAGTCCAACACCAGCTATTCTTCAATTTTCTTTCTTTGATGCTTTAGGTTTGATTGTTGCCTTTTATTTCTCATTATCCTCTTTCAAGATGAGTTACCAATACCCTACCTAAATGGAGTGATTCATACTCACACATATAATTAACTTCAGATTTATATATATATTTTCATTATATTTTCAAAAAAAATTATTTTAATCTCTTTTAACAAATTTTTTTTATTTTGATTCGTTTTTTTCTTAATTTTTTATAGCATAATTTAATAAAAATTAAACATATAGTGATCTCTTAATAGATTACATTAACGATAAAGATTAAAAAAAATCACAAAAATATAAAAAACCAAAACTAAAAGAATTCGTTAAGAAGGACTAAAACTTAAAATTTACTAAAATATATGAATAAACAATATTTAAACCCTAACTTTTACATATATTGAAGAACTAAAAACTTGATCCGTTGATAATTTCTAATTTGGTGCAGGTTCGAGATCAAGCAGGGCAAGGCCATTGCACTGGACATCATGCTTAAAAATAGCTGAGGACGTAGCACAAGGGCTGTCCTTCATACACCAGGCATGGAGACTGGTCCACGGCAATCTCAAGTCTTCCAATGTTCTCCTTGGACCTGATTTCGAGGCATGCCTCACTGACTACTGCCTGTCGGTGTTGACCCACCCAGCCATTTTTGATGAAGATGGCGATTCAGCAGCCTACAGGGCTCCAGAGACTCGAAACCCAAATCACCACCCAACCCACAAATCTGATGTTTATGCCTATGGGATTTTATTGCTAGAGCTTCTGACGGGGAAATATCCTTCCGAGCTTCCATTCTTGGTTCCTGGTGACATGTCCGGTTGGGTGAGGTCCATCAGGGATGACAATGGGGGTGATGACAGCCGAATGGACATGCTTCTTCAGGTGGCTACAACCTGCAGCTTGACCTCGCCTGAGCAGAGACCCACTATGTGGCAGGTCTTGAAGATGTTGCAGGAAATCAAAGATATTGTACTATTGGAGGATAGTAGTGAATTGGACCTACGCAGTAGTAATGCGATGCACTAATTTTTTTTGGTTTAATTATGTTATAAACGGTGGATAGAAGGACAAAAGAGTAGTGTTAAATGGGGTTAAAAAAATTAAGAAAGAAATTCATAAGTTATACTTTGTATTCCTTAAACAGACGTCACCATCTTGGTATTAACTTGATACAATGTGGGGTGCGCATAATTTTCTTTTTTGGGCTTGTGTCTATTGCTACTTGGGCTGTCCGAAAGTAAACTTTGGAGGGTAGATTTTGATTATTTTTTAAAAAATCTTAATTGAGCTTGCGCTGTCCAGTGCTGATTCAGTCAGTCCCCAACCTGATTATATTTTAAAAACTATCCGTTTTCGTCAAATGAACAGATATGTAGCTAATGTATCCATGTTCATTTTCACACTCTCTCTCTACACACGGGTGCGCACACAAACATATTTACATCTTTGCGTGTGATTATAAAGTTGAGTTAGAATAAAATTTAATTTTGTGGGATTAGTTTTCCTTAAAAGTCAATTTAAAACAACGTGATTTATGTTTGTAAATTTTTACTTTCAAGTAAATTTGTAGTAAAATTTAGTATAAGTTTTTTAAACTTAGTTGCAAAAATTACAATTTATCACACTAATTCAAATTTTGATAAAAGCATCCTAATAATTTTTTTTATAGAATTATGTTACAATAAGATAAATGTGATTTTGTAGTGATTTAATGTACACAAAAACATGCACTTGGTTTCACTCCATTTTTGTTGTCAGAATTTGATTTTCTCTGTTTAGCTTGAAAGATTATCGTTATCACCCCTAGGCAATTAGTGTATATTATGATTATTTTTAACTCGCGTGAGCTAGTCTTATTACAGTACGGATGTTCTTTAACTCAGGTGAGATTCTCTCAAGAAGAATTTGTGTGCTGCAATCCATCATATAACTTGTTATTTTAGTTTTAAGATGAAAACTAACATAATATTAGAGCTTATAGTCTATTTCCATTGTTTCTACATCTCCCAGTTAATAAGGTCACGCGTGTTAAAAAGTAGCCGAAGTATCTATGCTGCTCACCCGTCTGCAAGGTTGTTCTACGTTCTTGTAGGAATGGGCGGAAGCGAATATTCTGTGTCTATATGATCGGGCAAAAGAATTTGAGTAAAACACATGAGTACAGCAAAGTGGCCCTTGGTAGGAGGCCTAAATACATATTTGCAAGTCCTGTGAAGCACATTAGGCATAAACGAAATAAATTCTTTTTAGCTCCTTTTAGATTCTTTAGCATTATAAAATAGAAGACATGAACATATATAGCTTTTTTACTCAGAGAGGCCATTAGGAGGCCTGAGAGGACATGAGACGAGCTGTTATTATTATTATTATACAATCTGTAAGGTAGTATATCTTTCAATAAAATAGCCAATGTTCTTTACACACAAGAAGCCCTAGAGTACTAAAAACAACCTAAAGGAGAATTTCCCTATGTTGTGTGACAAATACTACAGTAAATAACCTATGAACAAAAAACAATTGGCTTAAACACAATAGGACCGTAAGAACTTGCAATAAGGAATAGAAGACCCTAAATACACATTTCCAAGACTTCACTAAAGAATATGTACTTTGTTTCTCCTAGTGCTGGTATGAACAGACAACTTTTTCAAAGATAATTTGTCTGTCCAGAATCTACGAATGTCTTCAAGCAAGCAATATCTTTGTTTTCATTATTTGGGTGCCTCTGTCCAAACATTACATTGCAGCATATTCCCAAGATGCTCCAAATGCAGTAGTTATGGCAAAATTTCCAAGATCTGGACAGCGTTATTCAAGACTGACACGTATATACATTTCAACCCATTATATTACACTGTTGCAAGAAACGACGAATGTCAGATCAACGGATCTTGACAAAAGTAAAATAAGAAGAAAGTATTACTTCGAGTCATACAAAGATAAAAATTTGCACAGAAATAGATAAAAATGAACAAGATAAAGTGCGATTATAAATTCATTCAAAGGATAGCGGAGGACATAATTTTGCAAGATCATATGCATGGCATGAAATTTTTATTAAAGATTTAAATTAGTAAAGGGTTACTACCTGCACGTAGTGCTCTGTTATTTCCAACGCCATGTGTCTAGGATAAGTTTTTGTGGGTCGAAAAATAATGACCCACATCAACTGGACAGATCATAAAAGATCACCCGATATGTAGCAAAGCCTGTGAGCGTGATCTTGTTCTCATGATCGTCTCATCGTTGTGTCGAATCCATTCTGAAAGTTTCCATGGTTTCTGCCACTTCCATTTGAATTGTAGTAGCCACTGATGATGACTTCTTTTCCACCTCCATAACTTGCCAGAAGTTTGTCCTACAATTGCTAGTTTTTTCATTGACAGCTGCCCGATGGGTATCATCTGCATTAACAGAAAATTCACAACCGTATCCAATAAAAAACATAAACCGATTTCATATAAAAAAAGATCAACTTACCCTTCTACCCTGATCGGCAAATGCTGCTGATTCCTTCACTGAGCCATTAGCAACCCCTGGTGTATATTTTAGCTGTTTTGGTACTGGCATAGACACTGGAGATAAGGGTCCTTTCATGTCTTCAGCGTGTTGTTTCAATGTATTTGGAGAGTTTACCTGTTGACATTGAGTGGTAAGTTAACTAATAACGACGGAAGCAAAAACCTGAAAATTAGTTATTTGTTTCAAACGCTAGTCGATTTTAGCTTGAATCTAGTCAAGAACCATCATATCCTAAATCCAAATGTTGCAGACTATTCACAGCCCAGGAAAAGTACTAAAAATCAATTGTTAAGCTGCCAAAGTATAAAGTTCCAGCATCTGTCTTCCTAATCATAGGCTTCTTAGCATATAATTCTTCCCAAATAACAATAATCTTACGGAAGCTGACGTAGCCAATGTGGTTGCAACAGCTTGTTCTCTCACTTTTAGCTCTTTCTCAGCTTCTTTTCTCTTCATCTCACTTTGCCGTAATAGACTGACAAGTTCTTTGATTTGATCTTTCATTTCCCTGATCTCCATGTCCTTCTCCCAGAGTTGGCACCTGTTGTTAAGATAGGAACTCATACTTCAAATTTCATCGGTATACAGTAACATATGCCAATGCCACTATAAAAAAAAAAAATACTTTATTTTATACAGGAATTCTGCATGACCTTTTTTAATGTCATATATTCCTCTTGATATCATACATTTGTGCTTGTTTGTGTTCAATCAACAAATTGTTCAGTTAGCTTATTTCTAGAGTATTAAAAAAGACACAGCTAATAAAAGAGAGAAAAGGTCCAGATCAAAGAAGGCGGCACCTGGCATCTGCGGCAGAATTAAACATATATTGAAGCAAATTCTTGGCTTCTCCCATTGAGCGCAACTGATTCCAGCGTCCACGATTGGTGAAGGCTCGTTCTCGTTCTTCTGCCTCTGAAAGCTGAGAAGCCATGGCCACAAGTGAATTAGATGATATGCTCAGCATGTTCTCAAGTGAAGCTATTCTGGCCATTCTTGCATTTGGGGACAAGGAGGATGCCCTGAGAAAGACAAGTTTTAAAAGCAACCCATTAAAGTAGATGTTACCCTTAGTATATTTCCACATATTATTTCATAGATCCAATATTTTTGAAAAGTGAAGAGGTGGGCATGGGGCATTTGCAAATTAAATTAGATTTATTAAAAAAAAAACCTGGCAAATCCATTCTTTCTTGGAGGACTGAGACCCTTGGCAGCAAACTCATTTACTTGTTTCAGCATGGCTAACTCCTCTGCAAGGGCAGCTCGCCTGACGATTATACAATAAAATTAAATACTGTAATAGAACAATCAGTAACAAAAATAAGTAGTGAGCATGTGTTACGTACACTTGGCTTTGTTTCTCATACTCAAAACGAACTTCATGCTCTTTAACCATGACTTCTAGTTCATGATCAAGCCACCGTTGTAAAGACTTCTCATGGCTCTAAAAATGAAACACAAAAACTTATCACATGAATAGCAAAGGAAATCTAAGAAGAAAAAGGAGAGTTCATTACCTGCCCATTTGTGCCACTTCCATTCATTGTAACTGGAAGATGAAAAAGAATATTAATATTAAGCAACATAAAAGAGCACATGCCATGTACTATCATGCTAACAGTGCTTTTGATTTTTAAGACATTCTAGAACATCCATTTATAATGCTCTTATTTACTAAAACCTAACTATTCATTATCTCAGACTCATACAAGTGAAAACATAAATTAATAAAAATGAGCATCTACTGTCTAAGACTCTCAAGAATTGAATATTGTCCACATAAAACAAATCGTACCTAAAGTGTCTCGGCTGGAAGTTTTACGGGCTTCTAACAACTCCTTTAACCTCTTGGTGGCCAAGGCAGCTTCTTCAGTTTTTCTTTGAAGGACCTGAAAGTTATACTCATTTATTTAACACAAGCAGTTATTCGTGTACCAGCCATAATAACCACAATAGTCAACATTAACATCAAGTGTCGGCTCTGTGAATCTTTCCTTTTATCCTGTTAAGAATTGTTCACATTGAGTAGAAAAATACATGTATTCACTGCATGTCTGTTTGATTCTACCTCTTGAGATCACAAAATAAAAAAATGTTTTATTTAACTTGGAAAGAAGAACTGATTTTCTGCATGTTTGACATTATCTGGAGGACATATGCCAATTATACATGAGGGAATATTAATCTCTAAGAATGTCTAGATGACTTATAACCAAGTAGAAACAATTTCAAAATGCATTAATTCAACTTCATTTTCTAAACATTGTTTAAATATTTGTTCAGTGGTGCTATGTGCACATGCGGTACAACTGTTTCCTGAAATTTTGCTGAAGTCATCGATCTCACACATGTAGTCTATCTTGAATAATGTTTTGCACGTAGCCAAGCATTGCCGATTAAATTAACTGAACTGATACCATGCAACAGTGATTTGGCAAGCTCAGCAAGTTATCCCATACAACACCGTTTTAGTTGCCTTTAAATTGAACCATATCATACATTTTAGGCTTCTAGAATCAAGAGCGCATCCCATTAGAACCAAATTTCTTTACTTTTTATTAATAAAACCTCAAAAGTATAATGAAAAGGCACACCATAGTATCTCCATGTCTGTGTCACAGTAATTAACACATACTACATACAAAAAGTTCCCTAGCACTCTGACAAAAAGAAGCCCCTGGGTAACGGCAAAAATAACCATACCACAATTTCCTCAGTCTTTATTATTTATCCCAAATGTAGAACAAATCAACATTCTTGTGAATTATTCTTAATAATTTGACTCAAACAATTTTTTTGAGGTCAAAGTTCAAACAAAGTAAACCTATTGCTGAAATAAAAAGTAGGCATACTTTTTAGATACTTGCAGGAGTATCTGCTGCAGGGAAATCTATGAATAAAAGATTAAAATGACTCCAATTCACCAATAACAAACAAAAACTCAATTGCATATGGCTTATAAAATTAATTTTACAAAGTATCTAAAGCCAGATTATTAAGTAAAACACATAATAGCCATCAAACAACTTTGGAAATATTTACCATTTTCTGGCGCTGATTTAACGCTTGCAGCTTGTGTCTTTCATACTCATTTCTTCTTCCCTCTTTCCTTAACTGTTTTTGCAATTGCGAGGTGATCAGTTACCACAGTAAAAGTAAATGTAAATTCAAGTGAAAAATGACACGCAAGCTGATTCCTTTGCAAGCTTTGGAGCAGTCAGGACTCAACTTTAAATCATACATGCATCAATGTTTAATATTTACCAAAAAACATTAAATTGATATTGAACCAATTATTTCGTTTTGGAAAAAAAAAAAAAAACAAAACTAATTGGTGAACTTTCAGCATCTTAAGATGTCTTTTAGAAGTAGCATGAACAAATTCAATAAAATAACAAAAGAAGAAACTTGACATACCTGCAACAGCTCTTTCTCTCTAGAAGCTTTCCACTGTCGAAACTGTTCAGCCTCTTGTTTTATCCTTTGCTGCAATTGTACCTGCAACATTATTCAGGTTATAACGGAGAGAGTATATAAAGTGATTTTACAATCATGGATTTGAAGATATTCAATGGTCGACCTTTTGTGCCTTTATACACTGTATTTCATCTTGTAGTCTCTTTGCTGCTTCATCACTTTTTTGCTTTTGCTTCAGAAGCTGCACCTGATTCTCTTGCTTCTTCTTCAGATCCAGAATCTAGCATGTATCATTTTTTTGTAATTTAGAATATCTTCCAATTTAAATCTTGGAAATGGAAAATAAATTTTAATGTGCATACGAAAAATTGTTATTCGACATCACCTGTGATTCAAGTGCTTTCAATTTGTGGGCATGGATATCCTCCAATTTCTGCGTTTGTCCATCAGAATTGGCAGCAAGATTTTCAACTTCAGCCAAAAGCGAATCTCTCTCTTGCTGCATTCATAAACCAGGTGAATACATTAATATTAATTTTCTCATTGTGTGGAAATAAATCTGCATAACTTCTATTAAACCTGCACTGCTCTCTTCTCATCCTCCAATTCCATTATCTTTTTTCCAAAGTGCTGCTTGAGTACTTCAGCATCAGATATTCCAAAAAGCTTCATCTCAGACTGCACAGACATCAATCCCAAAATGTAAATTAATAAAATATGAGACCGGAGAACATACTGAAGACACTTCTAAAAGAGTCAAACTATAATATTTTCTAATTTTCCAATAATGCTGGCAGACAATCACTCTGCTGGTTTAGTTCTTTTGCTTTTGTTGTCTTCTTAAATGATTAAATTCCCATGTGATGAACAATCTGATACTTTTCAGTAGTGTAACAGCCTTACTAAGCTAAGTGCCTATGTTATAAAGAAAATGGATTAAAGTGAAACACAATCATTTACTATGGTAAATTGGACACCATAGCAAGCATCAGAAATAGAATTTTCAGTAAGGTTGATGAAATTATAGAACAGAAGTTGCTGGTGGTTAGGTTGATTTGAATGAACTTCTTATTCATGCATAATATGTCAAGAATATGTATCTAATTTTACATATATACTGCAATAACCTCTTTCTGCTGCAAGCGTTTATTCAATTCATGTAACTCTCTATCCATACTATTTTGCAGAAGTGTGTGCTCCCACTCTTTTGTTACTTCTTCAATTTCCCTTGAATCACCTGCTAAAATTGGCAGTTAGTACCCTGAATCATTGAACTTTTAATTACACTTGAATAAATAGGGGTAGAGAAAGAGAAAGAAAAAGGACTGAGCAAGGGCATGTTTGGCTGAAGCGGCTTACCTGCTGTTTCATTCAATGGATAATCAGCCTCTACGATGGGTAAGCTCCTCTTTACTGCATCAGCCTTCACAATGCATGTGCTCCCGTCCTGAAAAACAAAGTTTTAAAGCTCGCGTACATAAATCATCAAGCTGATATCCTGAACTCCCTTAAATAACTGGAATGTAATACCAAGATGAGATGAAAGGACAAAAATAAGCATCAAAACAGTATCTGAGAAAAACATTCTAAAGTCAAAGAAGAATATTAAGTGAAAGTAAGAAACATACATAAGCATCCTTTTCACTTTGTTCTACGACAGAGCATCTGCTACGGTATTCATGAAGTTCACGGCAAAGATCGTCATTAGCAGCTTCCAGCCAAGCAATCCTTTCTTTAAGGACCTACATAATCAGTTATGAGATGATTATATATTTATGATGAATATAGACCATTTCAATTTATGTACTTAAAGTAGATCATATTACATTAGAATTTTCTATAAAATAAGAGATACGAGCACAATTGAGGTTAGAACATCTTTCCTTTGAATAGCTAACACTGTAATGAGTATTGATTATCATCCAACCATGCACAACAACAGTAAACTAATTAATGCATTGCTTCCACTGACCTATGATAGGAAGTATATTAAAGTAATCAAGACATCACTTAAGGTTCAAGGAGCCAACTACCTGAACTTCCTCCGAAGAGCCACCGGCACGGGCACAAAGTTCTGCCTGCAAATACTCCAGTTGTTGTCGCATTTTTAGCATCTCATTGGACATGGGATCTCTATTGATCTACATAAGAATAAACAAAAGAGGACATTTTAATGATTATCAAAACAAAATTATCTTGATTTTGCCAAATGAAAGATAGTGGAAAAATTATGCCGATACTTACAACAGGCTTATTTTGGATATTGCGAGCACGATTTGCGTATTTCAAAGTGTTAAGGGTTTCCTCAGCATTAATATCAGCAGGACTTATGCAGGCTGAAAACAAATCAATGGAAGAAGAAAAAAAAAATTTCAAAAACATCTTGTCTTAGAAGATTAAAAAATGAACTAGAACCACAGCTTTCTAATCTTTGAGATCAATAATTTAATACCAGAGAAGTAGCAAGAATTTAAAATCTGCTGAAAAATAATGTATTTTTAGAGTAGGGGAAAAGTTTGAGACCGTAAAATACAAAATCAAGAATTACTTCATTGTTATGGCATTTCTTTATACATTTCTAACATTACAAGCCACCCTTGTACTTCTTCCCATTAGCAAGACACAATTTTTTTCATGAATGTGAACATTAAAAGAGCTGAAAGGGATTTTAAAAATCTGATTTGTAACTTGAGCTCCATGCTGAAGATTAGAAACGTTTATTTGAAGCTGAGGTCCACTAATAGGATGCAAAAAAATAAAATTTATTGGAATACACGAAAGAGAAACAACCGACCTATCATGACAGTTCTACTGTTACCTCCAAGTGAATCCTGCAAAATCATTTCACTTTCATCTATAAATATAGAATACTATAAAAGTAATTAAACTAAAAAAATTCAAAGAAATAAAAATTGAATACAACTATTTCATACACATGTATCCTGTTTATTTTGTCTTCTTTTATTAGCAATAATTATTTTTCATCTAAGCAATTGTAGATTTCCAGTTAAGAATGATCCAGATCAACATAGGTAAGATTTTGTGATACAAAGGATATGTTCATAGCATAAAACATCCTGATAATATAAGAGCTTCCTACAAATTTATATGTTGATGAATTTGATGTAAAAAGATATAGATTGCACACTGTTTCTTCTCCAAATGAAAAACCTTCAACATTATAATAAAGGAAAGTCCATGCTGCAAAAAGGAAGCTAAATAAAAAGTTATGAAACCTGCAAAAGCCTAGTAAGTTTACTGTCCCTATATGGAACATGAACGCCTTCCTTTCGCTTCTTTTCATCACCAAGTGCACTAATAACATTACCAAGCGCTAGAAGACCTTTGTTAATGTGAACTCCTGTTTGAAAGATTAAATGACTAGTGAATATGTACTGTCAAAAGCATGCTCAGAAAATAAAAGTGAAAAACGTCCCAAACTAACCTTCCTTGAAACGCAGACCATCAGACCCTGTTCTTTTAGCTCTTTCCGATCCAGCAAGATCTACTAAGTGCAACTTGGCACAAAGATACTCTTCATTCATGGTATCATTTAAACAGCTATCACTAGGATTGCTGAGCTTCCTCATTTGTTCTAATGTGATGGTGAAGATGGCATGAGATCGGCTAGTTGGACACATAATAGAAGAAGAATAAGTAACAAAACTCCAGCAGAATAAACAGTAACGCCAGTTTGAGGCACAAATTTTTAATCATGGATCGGTACCAGCAAGTAAATTGCCCTAAGATTAATTGCAAAGATCATCAGACGTCTAGCAAAATTGCAATCATTCTTGCAGTTATAAAAGATACGTGTGTTTCATAAATCCAAAAAATTTCATACATAGCTTATTTTAAAGAATATAACCTTATCTCAGTCTTATTGCTTGATGCTTGAACTGCCAGTGCAGTTTAAAACAGAGACGTTAAAGGCAAACAATATCCAATTTTGTCAGTTAATTATTGATTTATTATCTGAATTTTATGTAGCACAGATCTTTCACTAATCGTATCTTGCAGTTTTATGTTATTCAAAAGTAGTTTTTGAATCTAAAAATTTGATGAAAAATATTTCACAAATAAAAAAACTAATTTGTGCAGTTCAAAGAAGAGAAGAAAAATGCATTATCAACCTGGATTGGTTGTTCATATTTGTGCTCCCAGTTGCTCTGCTCAATGATCCTTGTTCCAGGCAGGCAGCCATTTCTTTTAGTGTTGCTACACTGACTTCAGTAGATCCTGCAAGAGTAATGACACCATTTGACGTCTCACGAATTTGAATTGGTGGCTTCCCGGGCGAGGTCATTTTTCCTGCATGTCCATTTGCAGTTTCTGGTTTGCTCACGGAGGACGGATCCAGCAAGTCTCTTACTTCTTCTTTAAGAATCTTTTCACAATTAAATGTTGTTGTCAGATACTTTATCTAAACAACTTTGCACACATTAACTCTATCAGTTTCAAATATTAAGCACACTTAAATTACAAAAATATGTTGTAAACACCAAACAGTAACAAAGCTTATCAGCAGACCTCAATAAAGGAAACATGCAACTGAAAATTGATTTGGTGCTTTAAGGTTCCAATTTTGCCAAACAAAACATTCATAACTTGGGGTATTATTCCTGTTTGGAAACCATCTTTAAAGCCAGTTCCCATTGTGTAAGTTTTCCCAGAACCTGTCTGCAAGGGAGGGGAAGTGTCAAATGCAAAGAGACCGGTGCAGTGACATGTAACTTCTGTTTCCTATAGCAGTAACCATACCTGACCATAAGCGAGAACAGTAGCATTATATCCTTGGAACAAACCATCAACAAGGGGAGCAACACATTCTTCAAACATGGCACTTGAGGGAGAACCCGTGCTTCCATAAACATGATCAAATGTAAAGGAATGGGCGCCAATTTGTACCTGTATTACAGTAACAGTGACGATTAGCACATGATTCCCCAGCAAAATTTTTAGCTACTTAATAAAGGATGCTATCATTGGGTGCATTTCGATTTAGGTGTCCCGATGACTTAAAATAAACCATAAGCAATCGGCACCCATGCAACTGCAAGCAAATTACATGAAAATATATGCCGAGTGCCAACTCTCTTGAAAAAATGAGAATCACTAACAGATTTCAATAGGAGATAAAAGGCACATGCAGAAATATTTAGCGTGATGAATTTATAAAGAATAAATTATGAACTACTATTACAGAAATCTGCCGAGAAAACCTGACTTGATACAGCAGTAGAATTTTCCCATAAGGAACTGAAAAACACGAAACCCAAAAATAATGCAACAAGCAATTGAACCAAAGTCCGGATGACAACAAGAAATTAAAGAGCTACTTTCATTTACTGAGACTTCCTAGTTAATTATTATGTTCAATTGGTGTGCCTTTGTGCAACCTCCAAAATTAAATAATTATTTTCATTTATAAATGAATTTTTGTATGAAACTTATTCGGAATTATTGGTGAATATATAGATATAGACTGTTCTAAACACTGCACTAGAGTACTCGGGGGCTATGATCCCAAGAGACAAAAGCGAAATTACAAGAGCAGATAAAGGCCTTCCTCTCCTCCCTATGTTGAAAATTCGATAGGAAGAATAGCCTCTTTTTCCCCAAAATAACGTTTGAGAAACTTACGAGTCAAGCCTACAATGATATGAGCCAGAAATAGACACCAGTCAAATATCCCAATTAGGTAAGTATCAGATCGTAAAAGCGGTTCCAAACTCTATCTATAGTTTTCGAAGACGAAAGTTAGTTACGTAAGCATTTTCGGATCCAGATCTTCCACACGAGACTATAAGTCAGAATAGGAAATAGCTAGCTAGAATGCGGGACTGAAACATTGTCGAGAGTCAACGACAATGCGCTTCAGCTTTCACATTGGACTAGAGAATCAATGAATGAATGAACGACATGGTTGAGTTGAGAGTAAGTGAACCTGCGGCTTCCCAGCGAAGACGGTGACACAATCTTTGCAGCCTTGAAGCTTCTCGTCGGCGATGAGTGGCCGCACATGGACCGCAACCTTCACGCAGCAATCTTCCCCTGCTTCCATGGGGAAGCAGCTAACTAACAGAGCGACACAGAGAGAGAGCGGATTATAGGCAGAGAGAGAGAGAGAGAGAGAGAGATCAATTCGCTTGGAGAAGAAGCTGAAACCGAGAGAGCCTCCGACAATGCTAGAGAGAGAAAGTGATATAATTAAAAATGGTGAGAGAGAGCGTGTGAAAGAAAAGGGTAGTTGTGGAAACGGAGGGGTCTCATAAGCAAGCTGCACCAAGTAACTGTAAGAACAACAACCACTATCATTTTCCCTTCACCTTCACTGCATTGTGGTCGCGTGCTTTCAACCTCTTCTCACATTCTTTCCCAATTTGCCCTCCCTTGTACACCTCTATGGACTCTCACATCAAAGGTTCTTCTATTCGCTTCCTACCGTGTTTACTATTTTACCCCTAACCTCGTTTGCTTAAGGGGAATTATTTTTTATTTGTTTATTTCTCAAAAAGTTAGAAAAGAGAAAAAAGTGATAAATATTCGACGTGGACGTGGATCTCTGGTCCAAAATTTACAAAGGGCTCAATAATTTCACCTTATTTTGTGACGAAAAAAAATGGTGTTGAAAGAAATAAAGCTAGTGAAAGGCAAAGGAGAGAAGAAGGGCGGGGCTTGAAAAAGTGCAAGTTCGAGAAAATGAAACAAACCTAACGTAATCTAGTTGGGATGTAGGTTTGAGAACAAAGGCAGGAAAAGGAATACCACAACGCACAAAGCCACGTGACGCGGAACCATATACAGACACCATTATGGAGAGAAAGAGGGAGCTTTGCGTCTTTGACGGTACCCAGTCATCATCACTTGACGTCCACATTTCACAGGTGCCATAGTATACTTGTTCTTTTGTTTCTGTGACACCTCGTTTGCATGTCTGCACATATAGGGGGAATACACTTTTGGTTTTTAACTTCTTATCCTCAATGCATTTATGGCTCATATCTTGCACAAATACTACTGACGCATGTGTACATATTAGAAAAATAAATTCGTATCATCTCGTATTTTTAAATAATATGATGAGATGAGGATGGGCATGATGAAAATAAAGAAAATATATCCAAAGAGTTAGCATAAATTGATTAGGCAGAGAGGGGATATGAAAAAGAAAAACAGAAAAGATATTTATATATATAAAAAAAAAAGTAGTATAGTAATAAAAAAGAGAATAGAGGAGATAGGTTGGATTTGGATAACCGGAGGAAAGCAATGGGAGTGAAAAAAAGAAAGGAGAGCTACGAATTGGGGACATACAGCTGAGGCGGAGTCCTACCTCATATGGTGGGGCCCATTAGTTCATTTGGTCAGAGTGTGACAGTCCCCACAATCTGTGGCAGTGGCAGCTCATAAATTCATCTTTGTAGTATGCTACTTTAAGCATGCTGTCACCCTTCCCTGTCAGTGTCAACCTTCGTATATGTCTACCTGTGAAACCAGCTCATTTTTTCATCCTTATTCTCTACACGTAACAATCAATAATTTAAACCTTTTCAAATCAACAATTACCAACAACATAAAAATCCCAACGGTCCTGTCACCGACCAATCAATTTTGTGTTACGCATATATATAAAATACTTGTTTGAATTACTGAATATATAGTTGGCTTAATGAATTCTTTAATAATTATTTATTAAAATAAAATAAAAAATAAATATATTTTTTATTTGAAGTAAATATTTGTTATTACAGATTATGTTTTATATTTAAATGAAATAAAATTATATTTTTATTTTTAATTTATTTATTTTATCTGAAATAGAGACTAAATTAATCAAAATATAACATATATTATGTGTTTCGTATATACTAAAAATAAAAAATGAAAATAAAAATAAAAATTTAAGTTTATAGTTATATAGAGACATACATGGGCCCAATTATAGGAGGGAGAAAAAAAAAATTTGTTAGTAGAAAGAGAAAAAAAAAATTTGTGCTATGTGAAAGGTAGTAGAGTCATGAAAAAATATTAAATAAAATTTGTGTTAAAAAGAGAGAAAAATAAATAAATTGTGTTAATAAGAAGAAAGAAAAAAATAATTCATTTATTAAAAAAACATAGTGAATACATTTATTTTTTTTTATATTTTTTTTTATTTTTTATTTTACTAATATAATTTATTTATTTTTCTTTCTTCTTATTACTAATTTTATTTAATATCTTTTCATGACTTTATACTTTTCACACATCACAATTCATTTATTTATTTTTTATTATAAAAAATTATTTATTTTTCTCTCTCTTTTCTGATTATATCACATGTCTCTACATAACTGGAAACTTAAATTCAAATTTTTATTTTACTTTTTTGTCTATGTTATATATAAAACACATAACATGTGTCACATTCTAACTATTTTATTCTTATTTTAAACAAAATAAATTAATTAATTTTGTCTCATTTAAATACAAAACATGGTCTGATTTAATAAAAATTTGTCCTAAACAGGAAATATGTTTATTTTTAATTTTATTTTAATAAAAAATATTAAAAAATTTATTAAGTCTATATAGTTTGATTATATTTTTAAAATTTTAAAGGAACCATATTTCGTATGTTTTAGCATTATCCTAAATTTTATTAAGTCATAAGAAACTATTAAAGTTCGTATTTTTCAAAAAAATGGTATGCAGTGTGAAAGTTACGTGTAAAATTATATCAGATAAAATTTCATGAAACTTGTGTAATCTCTTTAACATTCCTTTTATGTTTAGACCCAAAAATTATGAATGTTCTTTCATCTTTATTTGATTGGAAAAAATTTATATATGACCAGATTTTTGTACCCATGAGATGAATGAGTGTTTATTATTTTATGATATTGATAATTTAATTTCATTTATTAATATTAATAACTGAACATTGAGATAAATTACATTAACAAAATCTCATCCGATAATTTAGTTTTTTTTTTTCTTTACATTATTTGACTCCCCCTGAGTAGTTTTGCTTGATAAAAGTCTAAGCTTAAACACATAAATTATGCATGTTTTTTTACACGTTATTATTTACTACTGTAGTACTACGCGATGACAATTCAAAACCGAGTGAAATTTTTCAAAAAACGTAAAATACAAAACTACGTATACCTTCTTTTAATAAAAACAAGAAGTTAATGATACATGCTCTAAATTTATAAGCAAGGTAATGCAAGTGGATTCCCCTCAACAAACATCAACTCATCGTCCTTCTTATGAGTTTATTTTATTATTTTTTATAATTTATAATTTATAATTTATTTTTATAATATTATTATATTTCTAAATTTAATATTTATTTTTTATTAATTAAATATTATTAAATTAATATATTCATTATTTAATCTTACGTTATTATTTTTTGTATGACGTAACATTTTTTAATTAACTGTTAATTTATTGTAAAATAAATTGTCACTTTATTATATTTTACTTTATTAGTAAATTTGCTTGATAAAAGTTAAAGCTTTAAAACTTGAATTTTATATTTTTTGTATTAATTAAAAATTATTACATGATGCCAATTAAAAACCGAATGAAAGTTTTGAAAAACGTAATTGAATGATTCCACGTCATTCCATTCTCCCTCTGAGTCCACAGAATTTTCAGCTATGCAAATCAAAAGGAAACATTTAACGGGAAACCCTGCGTACATCCTAGTATCCATGTATCTGTGTAATCTATATGAATAAACATTTGTCCTTCTCATGTTAAGGTCGGAGTTTTTTCATTCTGATTGTAATAAAAACCAGGTAACAGTTGAAAAATTGAGCGAATTTGAAAAAAAGTTCGAAGTTGTTGAACGGGGGCCACTGACAGGGTTTGATCTCTAGTGACTAGTGAATGTAGTTTGATTGTGTATGTTGCCTAGACACTGCTTTAAGTTGAAGGCCCACACACAGTGACCTTGCTTTTAGAATTATGAAATTAAACCCTTTATAAATGTATGAAAAATGTTAATAAATGTTTTTTTGGATGAGCAAATGCTTTTAAAAATATCATCAACACGTAATTTCAATTGGAGTTTTTGTCATAATATTTATGAAAAATTTTCACCAACGTCCTGTAGATATTTTTAAGCTTTATTTTATGTTGGGAGTCTGGGGTCATGTTGTACATTTTTGAGAGCTCAATTACGCCGTTGTCAGTACCTAACAAAATGAAGGACAATACATATCATGTCGCAGAGCGTGGCAAAAGTTGATTAGCGGGCCATGTCATTTGCCGGGCAACCAATATTACTTAAATTCTCAATTAGAGTATAAAAAAATGTTAACACTGTATTTGGAAATTTCATTAATACCACTGTCGCAAGTTTAGGAAAGGACAAGTTTTGCTTTGGCCTTGTTAGTGTGAAAAAACCATTCTAACTAAGTAATGATTTAGAAAAATTTGGATTATTTTATAGTTCGATCCCAAATAATGAAAATGACCTCTCCTCTGTTTGTGACTTTGTGTGGCTTTTCTCTTCATGTGGTGGTGGACTGCAAGGAAAGCAAACTTGCAGCAAAAACAAGTGTTTTTTCTTTTCCAGCATTTCTCTGCCTCCTTTATTTAGAAGGAAGACCAAGAACTTAAGGGAGGGAGTTGGGTGCATAAAACTCCAACCTCAAGTTTCTTTTCAACCTAACTCTTCGTTCATTGGATTTTGTCATCCGAACTTTACCTCAGATGCAAACAAAGCAACCACAATGTGGTCCCCATTAAACTGTTTATTTGGGCTTCTTAGGACAACACGTCTTTTTTTAGCTCCTGTAGTTAAAATCGACACTAGCAAGTAACATCAGGTGGAATTTCTAACAGTGTTTTTTCTAGGTATGTGATTGAAATTGGTATTCACCTGCAATGAGTTCTTTTGAAATCATTTATAAAAAAGGGTTTTAGAGTTTATTTATGATAATAACATCCACCAAACCGATCGGTTTGTCCTTTGAGCTCACTAAACAACAAAACAAATGAGTGTGTGTGCGTGTGAAAGAGAGTGATATGTTACTTTCTTTTTTATTAATATAAATTTATTTTTTTACACGAGTGATGTACTGAGGATGTATCTGAATAAACATTAAATAACTTAATGAAAATTTAATATTAAAAAATAAAATGGCAATTCATAATATTAAAAATAGTCTCGACTTTAAAATTTCAACAGCCAAAATCCTATAACTTTGAAACCGATGGATCAATGGCAAACAAACTGGAGCATAATGGAGAAAAGAAGTATTCACTATTAGCCTAGGTCCACATTATAGCAAAGCATCTAATCGATTTCAGAGTAAAA